ATATATATATTGTTTTGAATAATATGACAATATGTACATACATCGTGGTATTTTTGTCATCAAGCCGTATTTATCTTAGTGGTAATCGTTATATTAATATTACCTTTAATTTTGCTGCTCAGAATCGCGCCCGACTTCTCGTGCATTTAAGCCTCGGATCTTACATCCTCGCTGTTCTTTCACGCTATTCTTTTTCGCTATTCTATACTTTTATATCTTGCTTCATTTTTCTTGTTAATTCCCAATTCCCGAACCAAGTCGTCACTGCGGTTATATAATATTACAAGATACACACACTAGTGCTTTGTCGCCGATACTTTCTTAAGTTTAAAAACATATTCGCTTCAATGAGATCGTTAAATTGCTTAAATATCAGTCGCTCATAGAACAGCGGGTGATTTGGTGTACAAATGTCCCACGTAAATGATCCCGGAGAGAGGTGTCAGGTCTTTATTTGGACTATTGGCATGGCCCCTGTTCAGTAGAACAGTTTTCTTGTGGTCATATATCACGTGTGTTATATACGGCTATGAATAACATGTATGAAGGGCGTACATTTACGGTTAAAACGATGTTCGAAAATAGATATGCGATGAGCGTCTCCTGCGAGTTTCTCCCACATACAAGAGGGACGGCCGACTTCCTTTTTAAGACTTGTATCTCGCCTATATACACCTCTAATGGTTTCGTTGTTAAGCTAGCCTTAATTCCTACAAAGCTAAGTAACGTTCCTGAAAACAACCGGCCATCCGTATTGATACGAGGCAATGAGAGGATGTAAGCATGCAAAGTCCTATTGTTTATTTCACCGGTAAATAATTATTTATCGCCACTTAAGAAAGTAAGGACAAATAATATAGTCGAGTGTTATCACTTCTAATTCGCACGGTCCTCAATTTTTTCACAGAACCTCTGCATTTAAAATGCTTTATTTTAAATGCAGGACGTGAACTACTTTCGAGGACATGAACCAGACAGAATCAGAGGAACCGCTTTACTACTCAAGATGTGCTAAATATTTCGATGTATGTAGTAATGCTATTGTCACTATTAGCTAAATAACACACCTAGTAGTTGAACAAATTCATGGGTCTGGTCATGGCAAAGTGCATAACGTATTCCTCTTATTCTTTATAGATGAGTTATTTTCTATGATATCATTAGTCAAGAGTGGTAAGTAATTGCTGCTAATCAGTGCGTCTTCCACCATAATTGGTTGCTTTTATGGCTTGTTACAGCCAGTTTAGGACAAATCTATGTTTATCACAATTGCTCCTTCTGCTATTCTTAATTGTAACAAATGTATAGGAGCAAGCCATAGTGGGCTTCTAGGTCGAATTATTGTTTTCCCAATGAAAACTACTCTGTGGCATAAATAAATCATTGGTGTCGAAAAAACAGAAACATGTCGATTTCGTAGCATGTGATCACGTATTACGTGCCGCAGATCGACTCCTTAAGAGTCGTTTGCCTCCGGAAAAGGGTGGTCGTGACGCTAATTTTTTGTTTAAATTATGATGTTACCTTTTTTAATTTGTTCATTGGCGACCTTTTGTACTTCTGTAGAAATTTCGTGTCCTTTTCCGGCTGCTTTCTTTTTATCACCACATTATTGCCGTCAACGGAAAAAATGGCAAGCGGTGCTTTTCTCGGCTCAACAAAAGAACCACGCAGCACGGTGCCTGCTGCTGGTCTAAATTATTGTATTATTACTGTACTAAATTATTATATGTATGAGATGCTCAAAAAATTCATACTCACTCATTGACATGTCCGTGAACTGCATCGCTGATCTTTTTTTAGCACAGTAGAGGCAAAGAATCGATTAGTTAGCTGACTTTTTGATGCAACGTGACTTACCCAAAAAGCAAACCATAATTTTTGCCCTATCATGTTATGGTCTTCATTCGGAATCTGTGTTTAATCAATTGGGTCCACCAACGTTCGCTGTTGGAGGGCCAGTTCCGTGCTTCTTGTATACCTTTGTGAAGTGTATGTAACTGTACGTCAATGAAGTCCCAAAATGTCCACGACTATTACCGTAGCGATACAGCCACAGGCAACATGACCACCTTTGTTCGCTTCGTTTTCCGTCGTTGCTCGTCTTTAACCAAGGGAAAACAAACGAATATTTCGTCTGCGTCACAGCCGCGGCCTCCATTTAGAATCATCTGTCATTTACAGGTTCCTTTTTTGGCTCATTCCGGCTACATGTGTTCGAGTCTGGTGTATTACGCGTGTCCACTGCTCGTAACATAACGCTCGCCCGTATTTTTCCGATGTCTCTCCAACAGATAATAGTGATGTCGGATCTCGCTGCCATTACCGTCACCACTACTTTAGTCTACAAAGAAAGACGTACTGTTATTGACGAGTACTCGTTGGCATTGGGGGGGGGATCGGGATCGGGATCGGGCGATGGGTAAGTCATAATGGCTAGAAATTCAGACATAGTATGAACTTTTTAAAGACGAGACATTGAGGACAATCTATTGGTTGTTGGTAGCTGCGGTTCGACCTGTCACGTTTTGCTTTACACGATATTAGGCCGTAGGGAATGATTGCATACTCCGGCAGTTGCCACTTGTGAGCTGCTATCTTCGCTGCGTAATGGTCGCTGTGATTACCGTGCCCGCTAAACCGGCTCCTTTGGTTCGACTCGCGGGCCATGGCAAAGAGAAAGCCAGTAACCAGCAAAACTAACGAGCGTTCCGAAGATATACTACCGTAGAGAAGTTGTCGTAGAAACGACGATGCTGCTCACTTCATTCTGCTTTGTCTCTATCTGAAAGGTCAAGTAGCCTGTTATCGGCTCGGCTGGCTTACCTTGCCTTTTATGCATGGCACCGTTTGTTAATGGCCTTTGGCAACGCTTCTCGTGATGCTTTTAACGCTTTGTCAGCATCGGAATAAAGAGGGAAAAGGAGCAGTCTGACGAATTTGAAGGGTAAGCGATGAGCGGTGATTATCGGTCGCTTGTTGTTTCCAACGTTCACTGCAGTTTGCTGTACATAGATTCCTGGTTTTGATTACTCTGTGTGCAAGTGACCGTCCGCTAATGCAGCCGCTACGGTGGCTAGCTACATTATCAACAATATCAATGTAGTACTCTGGAGATGATAAAAACGGACAGACACAACTATTATAACTCTTTCTCTTGCTGCTAGTTCAATTCAGCTTCGTCGTGAACTCACTTAGCGGTAGCAGCAATACCGGCGTTAGTTAGTAAGCTGATGTGCGACAAACGATTTGGGTATAGAAAGTATGGCCTTCTATTTAAGGAGATGGCCAGTATACAAGTAGTAGCTCGTTATCGTTCCCTGCATGTATAGTACTGTAATGCTGTAATTCTAGCAAGGTGCTATACACGGTTTAGGCATTTTCAGTGTATGTTTATCTGCGCATACCTTGTAAATGCCGCTTCAACCATCCTACTGTTGCTTAGATAGTAGGCACGAGCAGAGGACATATTTCCCCCGCCGACTTTTGAATCGATTACTGGCCGCTTAGCGATAACATCAAACACCAGCAGTTACACATTTCAGTTCAGATGACGGCCATTACGAAAACGATGAATTGAGGTACGAGAGAACATAACAACAACAACAACAGCAGCAGCAGCAGCAGCAATAGTAGCATTGTATTAGATGAAGAGAAATGCGCGTTGCTTTGATGCGTTTCGTCTGCTGCTGTCGAGAGTGAGTAGTATTGGCATAAACATGACCGTTGGCCCTAACAGGAAAATAGCGACGAACGCTAAGCTTTCTCATTCGCATCCCCCTGCTTTCTGCATCATTACCTTCGTTGGCATCTGCAGTATGTGGAAGTGCGGTCTGTGGGCGTAGCTGTGAGTGGGGATGCGCTCCGGCGGCTAGCTGTGGTCAGTCGCCACGACTGGGCTGACAAGGAGTGGTACGAAAGATACCTATTCGAATTCTTCCTCATCTTCATGACTCATGAATTTGTAAAATCGATCCAGTATACTTTTCCAACATGTCTGGGCAAATATATTAAAAAAGAGTTTTAAACTAATGGGTGTACTCGTGTGCGCATCTGCGCGCGCTTTGGCCACCGCTTTCGCATCTTGTGGATCGTTTCCTCAGCTTCCATAGCCAGCAATTCCATGTGCTGATCCGTATGGCCTGGCGTGCACCGACTAAATGGCTGTCTCTCCAAAGATCTTGTTCCCGACCGCAGCGATAATTATAGCTCATTGGTTAACGAGCTCGACCGACCCAAGATGTTTATGGCAGAGCAGGCCAATAGCGAGTTCTTAGCAAGGGCCGGCCCTGGATGTGGAGAATCGAGAGAAAGTTGAGCCGATTTTGAATAAATCGTAGGTGAGACTCTTTCTCCCCGTACGTGTTTCTCCTATTATCTCGTTCTCGGTGATCTCGCGCGAAAATGGAAATCTTCTCACTAAAAGTAGAAGACTGTACCGATCAGACTGAGCAAAGCAGGGTACATGCTAGTTGCCACGTAATCGAACGACGAGTCAGTCTATAACTGGTGATTCTACGTAAACTCCAGGTGTCCTCTAGTTACTGCTTTCTATAGGAATACTGCTCTTAGCAAAAAGCACGCAATAACGAGTGAGTAGAGGGTTCGCGTCCATGATGTTACGCACAATTCGGAACATACATCTTGTCTATATAATAATAATAATTTAATCAAGCAGCGTGATTTGATTTGCGTCTGCGGTATTCTAGTTTTGATTTCGATGCGAGTTTATTTGTACTAAATTTTTCCTGTAGTCGTGGTATATGTTTCTGTTGAAGTACACTAGCTCGGTCTACGATGCGCAGTCGTATATCCTTTGAGAGCTTCATCACTAATCCGCCGAATTAGTTAACCGTCGGAAGTTAGATTACACCTGCTAGTAATGGTCATTTCAGTCTTTCGTCTAGTAGCATTTCTAGAGAAGTGCCGATAGAAACTTGTCACCACTTTGCACACACCCATCAGGCAGTGGTAATAGCAAAAGGCATTTGGGAAACGAATCTTATAGGAACGGGCTCATCGACAGTTTCACAGAATTGCCTTCATTTTTGTCATGTCTACATTTTGTTGTTATTGTTGTCGGGAACGACTGTTCATGACTTGTTGTTCTTTTGCCATAACCTGGAGAGGGATCCTGCTAGACACTAACCAAAGCAGCGCGAAGTTTTGAGGGCGTGTTTCAGTAGGTACGACAACAGCGCAAAATGGGTTTTAAAGTGTACTCCGAGCTTACAGAATGTTCAGATAAAACGAGCAGTACACTGAAAACCAGGGCAGGGCTAATGACGATTTTCGGAAGTGGTGACACTGGTGACTTTTGTTAATGATCTGACTTCATCTGTAATTTCCTCCGTATAATGCTGCATTTTCAAACACAACTGCGAATGTGAAAAAAAAAAGAAGTTTTTTTATTTGCTTTCCTCGTCTGTTTTTGGTTGATTAATTAACTGACCTCGTTGTGAAGGTTACGCGATAAGTGTACGACAAACAATGCGCTAAACGCGACTCGTTCGTCTCGCATAAGTTAACTAATAATGTTACTGTATACCCAGAGCGTGACGTAATAGCGTAACGTCTAACTGGCGTTGTGTTGTGATAAGATTACGTGTCCAAAAATACGTAACACTCATAGCTAGTTAACGGATGCACATCTGCTGCTAACAAGATCAGGTATATTGTATACAACGAGTGGGTCGTGTCGTTCATGTTCAGATGAAATCGCAAAGAGTATAGTGGTTATGCGCGACTAAAAAATACCTTCGATTTTCTTTTCTGGGTTGAGGTAAAAAAAAGTGCCTACCTTAAAGCCCTTGTTATTAACGTAATACTTACGTTAGAACTGTAAAAAAATGGGAAAATCTGATTGCTGCCTACAGTTAGAGCTGTTTTGTCCGCCGTGTGTTCATATGCTACTTATACTGTATGTTTTTTTCTGTCGAAAGCATACATTTTTTGACTAAGTTTTTTAGTGCTTCCAGTAATCGAAGATCGAACCCGGAAGTAAATACCCGATGTAAAAACATGATCTTAAAATATTCGCTTTAAATTGACGTTTAAACAACAAACACTATGATCGGCTATTTGCCTAATGCCTTCCCAAGAATAGGACAGAGGTAACGATAATTCCAAGCAGCGACTTTTGTTGCATAAAAAGTCAGTATGGACTATTCCTCCTTCGATTTTTCCCACAATGTTTGACTAAAATTACGCTTAGTTTTCTGCTAGATCAATCCCGTTATTGCTACAATTTCTTCAGTTACATCTTCTCGTTTATTTTGTTCTACAATGTGGAGTAACACAGACATTCGAGGTTTTTCCACTGTGTTAACTCGTTTTGCCGTTGCTATTAATATCGCTGATTAGTCGTTGTGTTACGACTTTGTCGATGCAGTTGTTTGTTGCTGCTGGTGCCGCCTATTGTTATTATTGTTGTGAATAACCCTGCTAACCGCGACCCCAATACGCGATCCAAACAATTTCTTCCTCCCGTCTACCACCATCACAACCACTTTGGCTTGGCCTACGTATGAAAAACCTGGTGGGTGATATGATGACGCCTATCGTCCTGTCGGTTGTTGCTTCGTCCTGACTGACGTGATTAGTTGCCTATATTCGGCAAGCCACTCCCGCCGATCGTGAGCGTCAGTACGGCCAACGGAGGCATAACGGCAGCGGTTGCGGCGGTCGGTAACGGGACAGTGACGTCTGCTGGAGATGCCAATGGAATTATAGGACCCAACGGCCTGGACGGCCAAGGGTTTGGGATGAGCTCAAACCCCTGCAGCCCTAACGGAACCATCATGCGAGCACACCTCTGTCTCCTCTCGGTGAGGATATTACCACAGCAGCATCATCTCACCAGCATTATCATCACCACACCACACAACATAAAACAGACATGATCACTTTTAGCATTATCGTCGTCATCATCACAGTTATCATCATTATGAGCATCATCAACAGCATCAGTACTGTCTGCACAAATGAAACAATAGTAAAACGAACCAATGATAGCGGTAATTGAACTGTAGAACGTACGTCTTTAATTGCTTGTTTCTTCAGCTACGTGACGAAAACTAGCGCTATGAACCAACAATGATTTTACGCTGATAGTGCAGACGGAAGAATGAAGCTCTTTAGTGGGGTTCGCCTGTACACCCCAGCGAGCGCGAAATTGCCTGGCCCGCACTGGCCATCCCTGCGGAACTCTCAAACTGGCATGTCATCCTCTCCTCATAGACAGGGTTAAGCAATGATGCAAACCGCCTATCCTCATTTCTAATAAATGAATAATTGCAATAGATGATCTGCGTAGAGTCTAGTTGGTAATCGCTCGTACGTGTTGTATATAAAGCAGTACCGTGTCTCGAATGTCCACCACACCCTTTCTGGTAGTATTATGATCTTTACAAATTTGATTCTCATTATTGAAAAGTAGATAATCTACTTAACCTGACTGTTTGTGGTCTTCATTAAGACATCATATCATATCGATCATTTTATAGAAATTACGTGTTATTATGTGGCTGCAATTGGCTGAGCACTATTTGTACACTTCTTCAACCATGGATGCTTTTGGACTATATTATTTTTTTTACTATATTATCTTGGATTATATTTCGCTAGCTCAATCCAACAAATAGTAATATTATTTGCTACTGACATACAATACAGCAATATCTAAATGTTTTTTTTAAGTAGATTTAAATAGCATTGCCTTCTTTAATCGCTCTGCTTGAGATGGCACCTTGCTTGAGTGAAAATTAGACGTTTAATGGAAAACTAATGCACAAAAAGACATTTCCTCGAAGTTCGACTTACTAAGCGGAGAAGTCAATGAACAACCTACAGTAAAAGGAAATACGAATTTATCAAGAACTATCCGAAATTATGTTAATTTTCAGTTACAAGCTTGCAATCTGAAGGTAACTTGTAAACTTTGTCTTTAGTACAGTATTATCTGATATCAATAGCTGCGTTTATCTCTACCTTTAAGCCGAAGGTTACTTATTCGTAACGAGAGGACTACTTCACCTTTGTATTATTTGACATAAAACGGATAGGTACAGGTTAAATCAATGTCTCATTTCAATTCATTAATGACAGAGATGCCTTGAAAACTATTCCTGGTGCTCCAGTCTACATTGAATACGTAAGCAGTCGCAGTGTCTTGCCGTTAATCCAGCTGAGCTATTTTACTAGCTAGCTTTACTCAACAGCATCGCGTCGTCCCGAGTCTCAGCAATTGATGAACAACGTGGCATTTTGGTGCCGCCCAACGTGTTTCTTGTTACGTGTCTTGTGTTCCAATTTTCCATTTTTTTATTTGTTCGAAGACCGTCTAGAAACAAAGTTCACCGTCAATGCTTCCAGAAAGCAACAGTTCTCACCCCTTTCGCATCCACTACAACAATTAAAGCATGTCTGACGCACTTGTGCGTTTGATTCTACCAATTTCCCAACGAATCTTGTGACCTTTAGTAAAAATGCGACCAAAAGAGTTTGCAGTACTCTTTTGGTCGTATTTGAAACAATGCAACGGGTTTTTCATTACGTGAAGAAAGCTTCAAATGACAGCAAAATCAGGTTTTAGCTAATTTCTTCAAGAATTTTGTTACTGCAATAAAATTTGGAACAGTTTGATGAGTATTTTTGTTTGTGCCCTTTAGTCATCTGTTGCCCACTGCTCATAGGTATGCATCTATATTCAGCTAAGATTGATTTTAATAGTTGGCACTGATGCATCTTGAAGGATCTGTCGCTCTGTCCAGATAATCTATTTCAACTTAGGGTGAGGCATTACAAAGGCCTGCTGTAAGCCGTCAGCGGTTGCGCTCGTTCGGACGATTGCAGAGATTTGTCTGGCTATGAAAGTTTGCGAAGCGACTGATGTTGCTCGAACAATCCCGTATATATTCTTCTCTTTAATAGTTACATGATATGTTATTTATATTGCATCATGCTTCAATGGTGCTTCACATTTGTTGTTACTACTGCTACTGCTGCGGCGGCGGTCGCCATTGGAGCTTGCTAGCAAAACCTGTCTGTACCTTGCAAAATGTTTAATGATGAAAAAAGTAATCTGGACTTACCTGCATGTTATGTAGATCATACTTCCTGGACATGATTAAAAGTGCCACAGATGCAGGCGCTACGTAATAACGCTACAAAAATATTACGTTATATGTTCTTGAACTATATGTTTTTTTTGATATATTGAATGTTTACATACAGCAAAAAAAGCCTGGCTAATCAAGACATGCTAATAGATCGCTAGAATATATTGATTTAAATCAACATATTTATTCTTGAGAGGCTATTTCCTATATCTAGAATGTCGCTACAGCGATATCTACTCTACCAGTAGAAATTAAATAAATGAAAGACAATATGTTTGTTGCCAAGACAATTTCCCTTCGTTTTTGTTACTTTCTGGAACTCAAAACGTCCGTTAGTTGCCGTCTGGCATAAAAATAGTCTTCTGCCACTCAATAGTTCATCGTGTGTTTGCATGCTTCACCTGCTACGTGCATTTTTTTTTTTACCACGAAGCTGTTTACTAGCATGAAGGATCTCTAACAAAGAACGTTGCAGCATGAGTTGAATCTTAGCATGCGGCATTGTATACGTAGGAAACGTGCATCACTATCCGGCCTGTCGGGTTGTAGCATATAGGGCAGCCTATGGAATCGCAAAAGTTGACTCAAACTTTTGGCCTTTTCACTTAATAAGTTAACTTTCTTTGATATCTCTTGATCTGTACTCAAACTGGTACACGTTTCGTCTTGAAATCATAATTCTCTCCACCATCAATAGACGGAGCTGGAAAGGCAACTTCTGCAGGCGAACCCGATTCTCGAAGCATTCGGTAACGCCAAAACAGTGAAGAATGACAATTCCTCCAGATTTGTAAGTACCCTTTCTCACAAATAACAGTAGTAGTAATGATGATATTAAATTGATATGTATGATATGTCTTACCTAGATGAGTGCATATACAGCATCTTCATGAAGTGTAAATGAGGTCGAAGGTACGAATACGCATTCTGGTACGGAATCTGGTATTAATTTGGTTTGACGATTTGTTAATAAGTTGTTCATACAGGCAGCCCATGATTCCCTTCTGTTCATCTCCTGTAAACAACCATGTTTTTTTCTTTCTGACTCTTCTTCAATCTTGTGTTTCGATGTGATGGCCGCCTTTGTTCTAATGTCATTTATTAGGGTAAGTTCATCCGAATTAATTTCGACGCTTCGGGCTATATCAGCGGCGCTAACATCGAGACGTACCTGCTTGAGAAGTCTCGCGCGATCCGTCAGGCGAAGGACGAGCGCTCATTTCACATATTTTATCAACTTCTGGCCGGTGCCTCTGTCGAGCAGATCAACGAACTTCTGCTTGAAGATGTGGGCGGCTACGAGTTTTTGTCACAAGGTAATATCACAGTGCCCGGCATCGAGGAGAGTGAAGAGTTCCGCACAACATTGCAGGCCATGCAGATTATGGGTTTTTCGAACGAGGATATCAAGTCAATCTTCAAGGTGCTTTCAGCAGTGCTTTTGTTCGGTAAGTGTATATCAACCTTTCGGGTTGACAATTGATAGGACCCGTTGAACGCAGTATCGGCCTTGATCGTAACGCTGAGATTATACGATTAATTGTGCTTTTAAAATTACCGAATAATTGGACCGGAAATTGATCCGGCAGATATGTTCCTGAAAGCTTAAAAATTCTTCCGATCGTTTCTTATCCAATCAAGACTTCGTTATGAGAGGCATCGTAGTACTGATCACTAGCATACATCGGTCTGCCAATAACCAGAGATCGCTGATTGCAGCGTGGCGATGCGGCATCGATTTATCATGACATAGGTGCATTAACGTGGGAAATTGCTCAATGAAGAAAAAACCGGTAGTTAGATAAAGCGCTAGTTCCTCCACTTTTGTACTTGTTGACAACATTTTTGCTTATTTGAACTATTCGTAATCTATGTGACCATTAGTACATTTTGCAATTCGGTCTGATCGGTTTGATTTTACCACTCCACTCATTGCTAAGGCCTGTCAATTGATGCTAGCAATTCCAGTTGCGGCTGTTTCCATTGATGATGCGGTTGAGGTGGATGGTACTCGCTCACTCCTTTAGAAATTATGATTTCGAAAAATGGCTATATTTTTCACGACTCTTCGTCTTTTTTTTCGGTAACTTTCCTGTCAATAGCCACCGACAACGTTTTGTTAGTCGAGTTGTTATCGTTCAAGTAACGTCCTGTGACATTTGATGTTTCTGGCTTTTGTATTCACCACTGTAGGCTAGTCGTTTGCGCCGTTAGCAGTAAAAGCAGCAAATAGATCTAGGCAATAACGCTTGTGGCAAGCATTCTATTATCTAAATCGGCGCCATGTTTATGGAAAACAGCGTAAAGCAATGGCTTTCGGCTTTCGCGGCGGCGAAAGTCAGCTCTACTTCTCAGGCTACCGGACTTTCCACCCAACTACCAGTTCAGTTATAGTTGCAATGACAGTGTTTTCGCTCTGACATTGACGATAAACTTCGAGTGAAGTAAAAGCCGTTTCAACTGGAGTAAATTGAAAATGCCGACAAAAACTGTGTCCTCTTAAACATATCGTAGAGAAAGAATCTATAATTCTTAATGCAAACAGCATTACGCGTACACTATGGTATTAACATTAAATAGAAGACCGGAACTTGCAAACGTTCTGTTGACTAATAGCATGTCAGCGCAATTGCTGGATTTTATCAAATAGATTAAAATGGTAAGCCAATAAATTTGGAAACGACTCCAACGAAATCAGAGCGAGTTGACTGTGCCTGTTTTTCTACTAGCGTCTTATTAGACAACTGAAGAATCTAGGAGGGCAGACGTTGGTTCAATAAGCCCGCGCATTTCACACGCGTTCAGATCGCGTTAGATAAATCATTAAAATCTGTGTAAAATGTATGATTACTCGATATTGTTCAATATAGATATTAACAACTTTTGACCACATTGACTTTTTGTGTATTTTTCTCATGCTGCAGGCAATATGCACTTTAAACAGGAGCGTAACACTGACCAGGCTACGCTTCCTGATAATCGCGTTGCACAAAAGGTATCGCACCTGCTAGGCATCGGCCTGCTCGAAATGAGCAAGGCTTTCTTAAAGCCGAAAATGAAAGTCGGCCGGGAGATGGTGAACAAAGCCCAAACGAAGGAACAGTGTGAATTTGCTGTTGAAGCCATTGCCAAAGCTCTCTATGAACGATTGTTCAAGTGGATCGTGCACCGTATCAACCGGTAAGTTCGCACGATGAGCTCATGCGACGACTTGGATCCCCCTGGAAAAGCTGTTGATCGCTTGCCTGTAAAGGTAACCTTGACTTCTCGAAGTGACTCTGACAAATGACCGTTACGCGTATTCGCATAATCGTAGCGTTCGGATCTGACCCGTCGAAACGACAGTCATTCACATTTACCTCTGAATCGATCCATTTTCCCCTTTATTCTGTATTCGCAGATCGTTGGACCGCAGTACCCGTCAAGGAACGTCGTTTATCGGCATCCTCGATATTGCCGGATTCGAGATCTTCGGGGTCAATTCGTTCGAACAATTGTGCATCAATTACACAAATGAGAAGCTACAACAGCTATTCAATCATACGATGTTCATCCTTGAGCAAGAGGAATATCAAGCTGAGGGAATCGAGTGGAAATTCATCGATTTTGGTCTCGATTTACAGCCGACAATCGACCTCATCGAAAATCGATCCGGTGTTCTAGCTATCCTTGATGAAGAATGCATTTATCCTAAAGCGACAGATCGCACATTTGTCGACAAACTGCAGGCCGGTCACGAGACGCATCCGAAATTCATTAAAAGTGACCGCATTCGCTCAGGTATTGCTGATGCTGATTTCAGCATTGTGCACTACGCCGGCAGTGTAGTGTACTCAGCCCGCCAATGGCTTGAAAAGAATATGGATCCACTTAATGACAACGTCGTTCAGAATTTGCAGCAATCACAGGATCCATTTGTGGCAGCGCTCTGGAAAGACGCTGAGATCATCTCAATGGGCGCCACACTCGACGGAACATTTGGCCCTGCCCGTGTCCGCAAAGGCATGATGCGTACAGTAGCTATGCTGTATAAGGAGCAACTGGCCAAGTTGATGGATACGCTTAGCAATACCAATGCCAATTTCGTACGTTGTATTATTCCCAACCACGAAAAGAAGGCGGGCCGAATCGATCCTTTGCTTGTGTTAGATCAGCTCCGCTGCAACGGTGTCCTCGAAGGCATTCGTATCTGCCGACAAGGCTTTCCCAACCGGATTCCGTTCAGTGAGTTCCGGCAGCGATACGAACTGCTTACGCCGAACGTGATACCCAAAGGTTACATGGATGGGAAATCCGCGGTCGAGAAGATGGTCAAGGCCCTGGAATTGGACAACAATCTGTTCCGAATTGGCAAGTCAAAGATTTTCTTCCGTACTGGGGTTCTCGCCGGACTCGAAGAGGAGCGTGACATAAAAATCTCTGACCTCATTATTCAGTTCCAGGCGTACTGTCGCGGCCTGCTTGCACGTCGGATGTACCAACGGCGTATGCAACAACTCAACGCCATCCGCATCATCCAGCGAAACTGCGCTAGCTATCTGAAGCTACGCAATTGGCCCTGGTGGCGGTTATACACCAAAGTGAAGCCTCTTCTCCAGGTGACGAAACAGGAGGAGAAGCTGTTCGCTAAAGATGAGGAACTTAAGCAAGTTCGCGACAAGTTCGAGAAAAGCCAACAGGAGATGAAGGAGGTCGAACGCTCCCTTCAGCAGGCTCTAGAAGAGAAAGCCACACTGAGCGAGCAGCTGCAGAACGAAACAGAACTTTGCGCCGAAGCCGAGGAGATTCGGGGACGCCTCCTTGCCCGGAAACAGGAATTAGAGCACTTCTGCCACGAGCTCGAATCCCGACTCGAGGAAGAAGATGAAAAGATCCAGGCGCTGACAAACGAGAAAAAGAAACTTCAGCAGCATATTACCGATCTTGAGGAACAGCTTGAAGAAGAAGAAGGCGCACGCCAAAAGCTTCAAATAGAAAAATATGCCTTGGACGGCAAGATAAAAAAATTGGAAGAAGGCTACGCGATCCTCGAAGATTCGAATGGCAAAATCCAAAAGGAGAAAAAGATGCTCGACGATCGCCTGAAGGATGTCGAGCAGACGCTACAAGAAGAAGAGGAAAAGTGCAAACAGCTGTCCAAGCTCAAGGCCAAGCAAGAGGCCACTATCGTCGACCTTGAGGAGCGGCTCCGGAAGGAGCTCGACGTCCGTCAGGAGCTAGAACGGGGCAAACGCAAGCTTGACACCGAGGTGAGTGACATCAAAGAGCAGCTCAATGAGAAGAAGGCTCAACTCGAGGAGATGCAGACACAGCTCATCAAAAAAGAGGACGAACTTAATGTTGCACTTGTCCGTTGTGACGAAGAGACGCTTGCACGCTCACAGGCACAAAAAGCATTGCGAGAATTAGAATCTCAGGTGAGTACTGAATTGAAAAGCAAGTTATACACATCTTTTGGTAACAAAGGTTTCTAGATTAAAGTTACTGCCAATTTGACTTTTAAATCATGCTATTTCTGTCATCACATGCTTGTAAAATGCATTTGTTGTGAGAATTGCACATGCTGGTAAAGCTTTCCACCATTTGTAAATTATAGTGAGGATACTACAGCCACCAACTCACCTATTAGTAACTTCTATATTATGCTAAATTCGATCGATACAATGTCCCTTTTCAGATGAGCGATATTCAAGAGGATCTCGAATCAGAAAAGGCAGCTCGCCAGAAGAGCGAAAAGCAGAAACGTGACTTAAATGAAGAGCTCGAACGGCTCAAGAACGAGTTGCTTGACTCACTCGATTCCACGGCAACGCAAAAGGAACTCCAGAAGCAACGGGAGCATGAGGTGGCTGCCCTGAAGAAGGCGCTCGAGGATGAGATGGCCGCTAAGGAGGCTCAAGTTTCAGAACTACGAGCCAAACATCATCTGCAGGTAGAACAGTTATCGGAACAGACGGATCAGCTGCGGAAGCAGAAGGCCAGCCTCGAGAAAGCCAAGCAGCATCTTGAAGCCGAGAATATTGACATGGCGAATGAGATCAAGGGCCACATTGCTGCCAAGCAAGAATCAGAACGAAGAAGGAAGGCTTTGGAGCACCAGTTGCAGGAGGCATCGGCTAAACAGGCCGAAGCCGAACGTCTTAAGCAAGATCAAATTGAGCGTTGCGGTAAAATGCAAGCCGAGCTGGAGTCGGTCTACGTCCAGTTGGAGGAGTTAGACAAGCGGGCCACTGCGGGACAAAAGAACAGCTCAAATCTCGAAGCACAGCTAGCCGAAGTGCAGGAGCTACTTCAAGAGGAAACTAAACAGAAGCTAGCGCTGAGTGCCAAGTTGCGACTTCTCGAGGCAGACAAACAGCAACTGCAAGAGCAATTGGATGAGGAGGAAGAAGCCAAGCGCAATATGGATAAACAAATGCAGGTTCTTCAGGCACAGGTACGAAACTTCTGTCTGACGCTAGCAGACAGAGAGGTATCTTGATTAAAAAAATATGGTTGACCTATAAACATTCTTTTCGATACAGCCATAAACCCCGGCGAAGATCGATTACTTATAGCTTAATGCTTCACGGCTTTTTCTTTTGTTTTCCTAGATCACCGAGGCAAAGAAGAAAAGCGAGGACGAAGGAGAACAGGCGCTAGAAGAACAGCGCAAGAAATTCGCCAAGGAGTTGGATTCCGCCAACGCTAAACTTGCCGAGCACTTGGCGCAAGTCGACAAGCTAGACAAAAGTAAGAGAAAGCTGTTGGCCGAAGTGGAGGACCTTAATATCGAACTAGATTCCGTCCGTTCAAAGGTCTGCGACCTGGAGAAAAAACAGCGCAAGTTTGACTCTTTGCTAGCCGAAGAAAAAGCGCACACAGAACGTGTGATGGCAGAAAAGGACCAAGTGGAACGGGAAAGTCGCGAGAAGGAAACTCGTCTCTTGGCCCTCACTCGTGATCTTGAGGAGAAAGACACGATGATCGAGCAGCTGGAAACAGCGCGCCGTCAACAAAACGCCGAGCTCGAATCGCTTGTCAACACTCAAGGTAGCGCTGACCGCAACCTACATGAGCTGGAGAAGGCACGCCGAACCCTCGAAAATCAGCTGACGGCGCAAAAGCAACGGTTGGAAGAACTTGAAGATGAGCTTCAGCTAGCTGAAGATGCCAAGTTGCGTATGGAGGTAAATCTACAAGCTATGCGGTCGCAGTTTGAGCGTGATATGGCTGCTAGGGACGAACAAGCTGAAGAGAAGCGCAGAAGCTTACTCAAGAGCATTCGCGACCTCGAAGGCGAGCTGGAAGAGGAGCGCAAACAGCGCTCGGCAGCGCAGACGCATCGCAAGAAACTTGAAGCTGACATCAACGACATGGAACACCAGCTAGAGCTAGCCAACAAGGTAGACTTGAAAGAAAGGCACAGATTAGCCGTAACCCCCATATACATTTGCTTGAGTTATTTAAAATACTACGATCACTTTAAGAATTGTTAGGGTAGTATTTTACTGATATATACGCTACATCAAGCTGCCATACGATTTTTGAAAATGTTTGTCTACTAGAACTAATTTCGCTTGGGGGTTTTATGCTTCAATCGAATTTTATTCGAGACTTGAAAAATAACGTGAAACTCCGCATTTCTTAACAGTTACCGACGTATTCGTATGGTCTTCTATAGACATCCAACTGGAATCATAATATTGACGCAATAGCCCTACGATTAATTGTATTTACAGAGCAAGGACGATGCCAACCGGGCCTTTAAGAAGATGGCCGCATCGCTGAAGGACTTCCAGAGGGAGTACGAGGAGGCGAAAGCCGGAAAAGAAGAGCTCATCGGTGCCGCCAAGGACGCCGATAAACGCGCCAAGCTGCTCGAGGCTGAGGTAACCCAACTACAGGAAGACCTCGCGTCGGCTGAAAGGGCCCGTCGCTCCGCTGAGTCAGAAAGGGATGACCTTCAGGAGGAACTGTCGGCTACTGGTGGACGAGGATCATTCCTCGCCGAAGAGAAAAAGAAACTTGAAGCACGAATCCTCCAACTCGAGGAAGACCTCGAGGAGGAACAGTCGAACGGCGAGATTCTGGTCGAGAAGATGCGCAAGGCCCAGAATCAGATTGAGGCGGTCACTAACGAGCTAAGTCAAGAACGTAACAACAGCGCCCGGCTCGAAAATTCAAATGCTGCTCTCGAACGCCAAATCAAGGAGATGCGTGCGAAACTCCAGGAGATTGAGACTTCGCAGCGAAACAAAATCCGCAGCGCTGTCAGCCACCTCGAGACTCGAGTATCACAGTTCGAGGAACAGCTCGATCTCGCCGAACAAGAAAAGCAGACTGCTCAGCGTATGGCTCGTAAACTTGAAAAGCGTATGAAAGACGCCGTTAGTCAGGTATGAACCCGTCTGAAGCCATCGTTGTGGAAGAGAAGAAATTTACTTACTCGATTTCCTCCGCCATATAAGGCTCTTTTCGCTTTAAGCTATCGCGATTGCTTTCATACAGTTATTCATGCAACGTTACAAGCTTATCTTCACGTATGTATGATTAACATCGTCTTAGAGCTGCGTATTGTTTCAATGCAGCGGCCTGTGGGCAATCTGTGATATACTCGATGTTGCTGTGTTCTAATTAATCTTCCTGAGCTCATTATTATACAATTTATCTGCATCGTCTGCTGTAGGAAGGTCATGTTTATTTTTAAGCCTATTTTTCATTTATCTTGCATATAGTGAGCATTATTGACAGACCTCTGTATCATTCTCGCTTATTCGTCAGTCGTAACGAATTTTCCTCCGTTTCCCTTGTGTCAAATATTTACAGGTTGATGATGAGCGCCGCAATGGTGAGCAACTAAAGGAGCAGATAGAAAAGGTGACTAATCGTTTGCGCACCCAGAAGCGGCAATTCGATGAAATCGATGAAGAATGCTCACGCGAAAAGGCCCACCGACGGAAGCTGCAACGCGAGATCGAGGAGCTTCAGGAGCAGAACGATAAATTGCAAGCCGACCTTGCCAGTGCCCGAAACAAACTTCGCCGAGCTGGTGGGGGCCGGTTCACTGGCTCAACGCCATCGCGCGGCGATGAGAGTCCCGTCTCGCTGCCGGACGACAGCCTGGCTAGCTCTGAAGATGGACAGATCATCCAATAAAAATAAGTCTCCCTCGTTCATTCCCAACTTCCCAACCAATACATCAATCAAAATCTACCTAATTCGGAATTTGAAGTCGCTCACGAAACGCTAAGCGGCGTTAAACTTTATCATGACGACAAAAGTTGTCAATTAATATTTGCACTGCGGCAAAACACTTACCACAACGCTCTGAAAACCTTCACCAATAGTCACATGGAGAGAAGGCCTACATGTTAAGCGTACTTCAAGTAAGATTCTTAGGAAGGAAGGAAGTTCTAGTGCTGTAACTTCTGGCCGGAAAGGTATCATTACAGGTGCGGACTGATTCATCCAGTATGCAGTTAAGCACGTGTATCATCAGTGCAGACGTTGTCCTTGGAATCGACATCTAAGTTAAAGAATCTGAGTTGATCGTGCTGCCCTCCTTATTCTGGGAGCTTGTGCTTTCAAGTATTGGAGATCCTCTGTTGTCATATTTATGGAAAGTATAGACTATGACAGTGCTACTTGATGTAACCATTGAGGAATGCAAGCGAGTAAACACACAGACAAACGATGTTTCGGCAACATTCACAAACGTGTAGTACCTTTATATGGGTGATCTGATTGAAGACCTATACTGTGCCTCACCCTGGGCAATACGACGACGTCATCAGGGTAGCCTATGCTATACAGACAATTCAAAGCAAGCCTTTCTAAAGATATTAATTATAGAATGTTAAGCCTCTCAATGTCACTTAGATGGAACCTACTTTGTCGAACGGCCAAACAGTATCGCTGCGAACGAGAAAAAGAAGAGTTATATCGACGTGATATAGATCTACGAACGTCAGAAAGATGATTCAAATAGACTAGGCACAGAGACGGACACAAGCAGGAATTGCACTTTAATCACTGTTCTTACCATACCAGTAGCAAAGGTTCAAGCATAGATAAAGCTATATACGTCGATATAAATAGTTTTATATAAAATCCACCTGTATCGCATATTGGAAATATCTCCCCTTCCTCCCCGAAAAAAAAAACAACCCTTTGACAATCTCCGATGTAATACTTAGCCTGAATTGTCCGATCTTAAAGTATCAGCAAGCCACATATTAATGCGGTAATGTCATTCCATTTCTGTTTGATGACCCCCCCCCCCCTCCAGTCGCGAATTCGCGCCGCAATTTCCTTTTGCATGTTGCGCCCGCTTAATCCACTCCCTATAATACCCTGTATTTACATTCAACGTGTATTTATCGTACGTATATTCGCGACATTCAGACGCGCGACGACTTACACCGCCCTACGTGGATATAGTAGTACCGATAGATAAGACAGATGAAAAACATAATCCTTGTCCCTGAAACGGACGGATCCTTTACAGTAACAATTTTCTAGAATTACGATAAACCCGGTTTAGATAGCGTGCGTGTGACCGGATGTGCGTTTAGCGCCACTTAGTAGCCGTAGAAGTTATAAGCTGGTGTTCAGGGGAGACGCCTTCAGAGAAATCTAAGAACGCTCGAGAACGCTATTAACTCACATACGAGTAATCATATGACTCGTTAATGTATAATGGCTAATTATTACGCCTTTATTATTTATAATGCTTGAGTCGATCGATTACAGTATGGTAAACGTTATACGAACGAAGTAACGAAATGGAATCCTTACTACTTCGTATAGGTTTCGATCAAGTAAAATGGCGTAGATTACAAGCCACTGAACAAACCAAACTGAATATAGGGGGCAATTTTTTGCCCACTCAGTTTGCAAAAATATATAAAACGCAATAATCGACCGAAACAGGTTTATATTGGACGAACGCGATAAAATACTTGAAAGATCGAAACGATTCGAAGTTCTGGGGGACTGAGACTAAGGAAGGATAGCAGTAGCGTTCCGCCGATTATTCTAAGCCGCTTATTATTCAAATGACACACACACACACATACCTATATATACAAATATAATAATTATACAAATACATGGCTCTATTAAGCATGCATTTAGTAGCGGTAAACTTTTGTCTTTTGAGCTGCCTTATTGATTGTGGCCATTTTGCTCTCGTGCTGTTAATCAGACGTAGCGAATACGCCGGTGACGACAGATTGGCGGGCAGACAACAGAAGGGTCGAAACAGAAATGAATTCATTGAATGGTGGTGTACGGAGAACAATTGAAGGCTGACAATGGATTACTATTGAATGGTGATGATGGTTAATAATAGTAGTGTGAAGCAAAGGGGTGGAAATATGTGCATTGTTGTTGTGTCGCAACAGCAAATATATATATTTGTTTGTTTTGACTTATCGATTGATCACTTCGGCATTGATTGATAAATAATCTTATGATTAATTACAATGTTTGCTCTTTTTGGTTGATTTGATGACTATGAACTAACGATTGAGGAATACTGAAGAAGACGTGAGTTTGTTCGGTAACGATGATGACACGACGACCGATTCGGCAGATGAAGCGAACGCTTGTTCCAAACAATGAAATATAGTAATCTACACTAAAAATCGCTATTAGCGTTAGCATCGTGCTGTGAGTATGGGCGGACATTCTCGTCACCAATAGCCTCGCATCGCTCTATTACTATATAATAATTATTAGCCAAACCAGCTGCTATCTACAATGAGCTCGAACATAGCGAGATCTTAATTCTTCCGCGGGCGAAGCTCACTTGAACGCGTATGTAAAGAAAAAAAAAAAGATGCTAGCCTTCTAGCCAGTGTAGACGATAAATATCAGCGATAAAACAATGACAACGATATTGCTAATAATGAATAGAAATATTAGTAAGAGGTGGAAAATTTATAAAAGCCAGAACGTCTATCGTGCTGGGCATATTAGACGAACACGCATGGTGGACACAGACGACGCTGATATGTTGTAGCAGCATAGTAGGTAACAGCAGACGTAGTTAGGGTAGTTGCCATATGTGGATCGCTGATCTCTCGGGGACACAATTAGCCAGTTTGGTCACCTGGTCGATTTGTGAGCCCCCGGACAGGGGTCAGAGAATTCGACTTAGGCCTAAACGTGTCGACACAACCGGCATATAGGAACATCCATAAACAACCCTAAAATCGAGGTGGCTGAGAGTACACAGACGCTAATGAGAACAATTATTATGATGATGGAATTTAAACGAATAAGAAAAAGGCGCCACTTACATGTAATGTGACGATGACGAACGAGACTGGTGGTGATTATCACGAGCGTAATACAGACGAAGCTGAGAAAAGGATAACTACCTTGATTGCCTAATAATAACACTGCTAATGAGAAAAAGAAGGTATGATGATCGATATATACATATATATGTGAGAACACATTGAATACGCGGAGCTGATGGATATACACGATGATGATTATGATACGGAGCCGATTCTGGAAACGATTAGACTAATGAGTAATATGTTTGCGGGAAAGGGCCATACCGACGATGATAGACCCGCCGTTCAACCCCCTCTGTGAAAGCTCTCTATATGACAAATAACAGAGCAGCCTGAGACGAAACGAGTCGAGACAAAAAATGAATAATACAAGGCTGGCTGGTAAACCGTAAAAGGCTTTTCCTTCGACGGAAAGACGAAAATGGCTCGCAACGGCAACATTTGCACAGCGGGCCCACACATTAGCAAACACGATACAAAACATTCAATTACTATGAGCATTTCATAATAAATACATATATTTATCGAACGGCCAGGAGGACTAACGAAAAAGAAAGTAATGACCATTGTCAATAATGACAACAAGGTCACCTACATCAGCAGGGTTGATACTGCAAGCGAATAAGACAGATTTCGTAACAGAACAAAGATATCCGGGAGGTGCTATCAGGCTGACGCATAGTTTGGGTTCTCTCCGATGTCTTTCGCCCAAACGGGTTAATACAATCTTTGCATGTTTCTAGCATCACCTCCTTAGTAAACAAGGAAGCAACGGAACGAAGAAGAAGCAATACCAATCCGCTTTTAAGATAACGAGCGCACCGAAACTTTTGTTAGCCTTTTTGAAACACTCCCCGCTCCAATAGTCTCTGCTAGTTTTCCTAAAACTGTGTTAGTTAGCTGGATAGGATTTTTTCGATTACCAAAATTGACATTCATCAAATCTCGGTAGGTCGTTTTGGCAGCAGAATGAGCAATACATGAATATATGCGCATAGATACATAAATACATATAAGAGATAATATATTTGTATACCTATCATGTTTACTGATGTGGCATCCCTCATGTCTCCTGCGTGCATTCGATATTTACCTACCGCTGCTTGAGGATCGTTTAGACCGGTCTGGTCTAGTGCAAAGTAGTGGACTCGAGATACCGGTAAGCGTATAAATAACAGGACCTTTTCGACTGTCGCAAACAAGTCACTGCACTCCGTGCCACATGCCTGTGTCGTTATTCCTTTGATTAGTATGTATTATGCACATTGTAAATCTTGCTATTCGAGTGTTATGTAAGCCGTGCACCTATTTATCTATGTATTTGCCCCTTTCGGTGTGTGTCGTCTTCCCCGGCCTTCGATATCCGACGAAGATCGGACGATGACAGTTATTTTTGCCCCCACTTTTCCCTCGTCTGAACCTCCTGACAAATGGTACTAGCTAGACAGCTGTATGAGATCGACTGGTCACTTTGTAATGTAAGCAAATCGCTATAAAAACACTAAACCAACAATATTTAAAAGGGTGCTAATCACATGGGACAGTTATCCAACTGCACTATCAGTTTTCAAATATATATCAAATAAAATATTTTTTTATTGTCAATAAAGCAAAACAGGCGATAAACTGCATGTATGCTTGCTGCCTGAGCGATTTACTCGGCAGTGCGGAACGAGATGAGCGTAAAAAAAAAACAGTGAAACCACAAAAGCTGTAACGATCGATATTGGCCCCTATCTAATCGGAACTAATTGAGAGTCATGGCCGTAACGGTCAGTATTGGTATCAAGTAAACATCAAATAATCACACTTGGTATTGATCTAATGGGCGAAGATCGCCAATACGGTTTATTTGAAAAATATACGTGCATGAACCCAAATGGGCGTCGAAGAGGCATCGCAATAGCATAAGCAAACATTCTAGTGAGGTTCATTACCCCAAACAGGTGTTATTACCGAGCTCTGTGTCGTTCGCTTTAAAATTGTAACTTTTTTTTATTCTTACTATACACGTATAAAGGCAAGCCTATACATAAATCTACAAATAAGAGCCCCAGTTTAGAGTCTAGGTTTAAGAACGTATAAAACTGAGTGCGAACTGAATCAGCCAACTTGGACCGACCAGCCGACCGGCGAACAAATACACACAACACAGACAGACCTCTGTTCAGGAGAAGGACGAAGCAGTGAAACGAAATGCAGAAAATTAACCTTAAGATGATAAATCCATACAAAATGACGCGCCGTGTACAGGTGCTAAACGTCAACGTTTAAAGAGCAGACACATTCCTGCCATGACAATGTATTTTACCTAAAAATTTTGTCCCAAATAATTTTGCCCCCTCCCACATTTATATAGAGCAGAGTTTAAATAAAGAGGTTGTTTTCAAGAAATCTAACGGGTCATCGTCTATGTCTTGAGTTTTTTATAATTAGGTTGATAGCTAGGTAATTTTAGGCTGTGCGCTAATAGCAGACTGTGGGTCAATACACGTATGCGTGTATATATATATATATAAACCAATGCACACTTTGCTACTTATGCACAGCCTAAACCCAGCTAGCTGTAGTACTAATAGTATTAGTGGCAGTATCAATAACGATATCTATGTCGTAGCTTATCTACACTTTACCTCTGCAGCTATATTCATCAGGTAGTTGATGTTGGACACTTACATAATAATTATTACAGATTTATTATTATTACAAAAAGAAGCTTACTTTCTTCTAACAACCTAGAAAGGTTGTGTGTCTGGGCATTATAACCAAAGGATTAACAAACCAAATGAAGATAACGATTATTGTTCGTTTTCGCTATGGTTCAGCTTAATTTATTCATTAGTTGTAGCCAGACCAGCTGCAGGATAGGGTTTCTTCCAGATGAACGTAAGGCTTCACTGTCGTCCTATTTTTTTGTAAGAGACAATAAAACGCGTCCTGCAAAAAAACTAAGCCAGATTACGCTCGGGTTTCAATCACGAGTTTTCTAATTGTCGTGTCTGCATACATGTAGGTAACCACCGTTTCTATATGTATACTTTTTTAGCATGTGAAAACCTTAGCTAGAATGTGCATAGGATAGCTAGAGTAACGTTCGATTGCATGTTTGTTGCTCTTTAATGGTACACACCAATGAGATCCAAAACGATAGGGACCTCTACTGAGGTCGACAAACATTTAAAATCACGTCTTTTGCGTATAGTACAATAGCGAGACCAGTAACAATCGACTGAGCAAAACCGATATATTTGATGTGATGTTCACAGAAAAGCGTCAAGGTCTCAACTGTTTATTTAGATAAGAATTTCAATGAAAAACCTGTCAATTGCTATTGATCGGCATATATATATATATATATATATATATATATATATATATATATATATATATATATATACATATATATCTGCCTGCACTCCCCATAGTAATGTCTGTCGAAAGCATTCGATAACTCATGGAACGCTAAGCGGATTCTCTCTCTATAAAAAGGCGAGAATCGGGCGGCGGCGAATCCGTTAGTCTATGCTGCTGTGTTGGCGCGTCGAAGGGCTGTCTCAGGTAATATGAGGTAACGAAGGTAAGCCATAATGAAAATACTTTTTTCTATTAACGACCTGCTCTCAACACGTATCGACAGCACTTTTCTTTTGCGCACTGGTCTTACCAGCGTGAGAAAAGAAGGCTATGCTTATTAAAAGCGTATTTTGGCTAATTATTGGTCTTTCTGCAATTGAAAGGCGCATAAGAAGATATGTGCATAAACAAAGTAGTAAGTTCATGGGAACCTGCACGTACTTCGACTATCGTAGGCAACCATATTTCGGAGACATTGCTGAACTAGGCAAATTTGAAATTCTACGTAGCGGTTTCGCCTGATACGCGCGTACTTTTGAAATAAGCACATTTTACATGTATTTACGTCGTAGATCAATCGAATTTCTATCTACAGTAATTAGGCTCAAATGAACCTGTATAGAATCTAATTAAAAAATAGTTGAGACAATTGGTGGTAGCCCCACAAAAATTCACAATGGTATTTAAATAAGGATCCGTCAGGTTGGGTTACCGTCAACGTCCCGGTTGATCACAATTTTACAGTCACTTTAGGGTTCTAATACATAAATCTTGTAGTGGTTAGCGATAGAACATAATGATCTGCCAGTTTAAGGTTATTTATAGCGAAAGTCTGTTTACGCGTGTTGAACTCAGATCAACAAATTCATTGGAAACTAGATAAACAGAGAGCGCGCCGGGCCTCTGGCGCCACCCATAATGGGGAGTACGATTGAAGGACACAAAGGTCATGACGTCCCGTTTGATGTTACTTAATGAGTCATTAAATTAACGAATATTATTATTTTATGTATTCAATGTGTTGAAAATAGGTATTATTAAATGGCTGTTAATCTCACCGTTTTTTACGTTTTATTTACGTTTTATTTTTCTAAGATACCTTCAAGTAAAGAACAACTAGTTATCATGCGAAAACATATAGTGTTGTAATACAATCAGCATTCAAAAGTGTCAGTGTCTCTTCTGAATATGAATACCTACTACATTCCGTCCAAACATCTGGTCCTTAGGTGCTAATCACGGATTCTCCGATCCAGCCAGGACGCTTGAGTTACTATCGAGTGGCCTGTAGGTTGGAATTGCGGTTCACGATTTACTTAAATGATATTCATACTTTGAGATTACCAGTAATCGCACTAGAAAAAAATCTGGCTAGGCCGCAGGCCGCCAAGTGTAATGGTAATAATGTTCATTCATTTTGAATTCCGTTCATAGAAGAACTATTCCAGCCTAGCATTACACTGAATATCGAATGCCATAGCGTAGAAGACGAAAGCTGAGAGACACGCAATACGATGACGATGTTGGTTTCACGTGTACGGCAAACATCATCAAGGTTTCGCATAGCATCCGCCAACCGATAAGTCAATTGTTTGTGAAACACAACTCTATTGACGGCTCCTTAAATTACTTGCGAATCATTCGGTATTAGATTTCTTGGCACTGGGAATTCGAAGTGTGTTTATATTATGCTATAAATAAAGGATATTTGAGAACCCATAACTCTTAGACGCGTAAGGAGCTTCAAATTGACGCTAGCCGTCGTAATGAAGTTAACGCTCAGTACCAGCCCAAGCGGTCGGAACGTCGACTACGTTTCTAATGACACGTTGGAGATTATGTCGGCTATTTTTTCATTTATGATTATAGATGTTTATCCGGCCCACGGCCGTGGAAAGGAACGAGTATTAACCGTTTGCCGTTGTAGTGAATCAGATGCGTCAGACGGATTGACGAAATCCAACCGCCATCGCTTCGGCAGCAAGATCAGCGTGTCATCTTGCACAGGGTAAAGACGCTGCTGCCAATATGATAACTATAGTAAAACGTCATCAATGACAAGCACCACTAGCTGGACAAAACAATGGAAAACGGCGCATTTTAGCCTGTGCGGCCGGTGCCTGCTGTTTCGGCAGGCGTGTCCTGTCGTCATATTTTTTTCTGCTTGTACACGTGCCGCTCTAGAATCAATAAAAGCATTATTTGTGGAAAATATGATGGCTTCGACTTGAATTGAAGTGGCAGATGATGATCGAGAATACAACCGAACTTCAGTGCTTATTTTTCCTTGTTGTTTTTTACCTGTCCATAGCATCATAAAAACTGAGCAGCACAAAGACGGTTATTGATAGTACAGTCGACGGGAGAACGGTAATATACAAGAATAATGACGATGACATGTTAGAATGTCGATTTTTTCTAGGAAACTGGTAACGGTATGTAATGTTCCATTTTTCCTATTGCGCTAAGGTTCGAACTTGACGTTCAACCATGTTTAACTCTTATCGATAGAGAAATCCAAAGGAAGCCAAAAACGTTGACATCGTGAATCAGAAAAGGAACTTGTAACGGCCGTTACGCTTTTAATGTACAAAATAAGCTTGTCATACTGCATTTATGTCATTGTTTGTCCTTTTTGAACTGGTAACTATCGAACTTCGCCGAACGACGGTGTTACATGTATGTGACTACTCGTCGTCCGCCTTTAGCACCTCACACCCATCTTAATAGGGCTTCTTGGGGAGACGGGGCACGTGACAACTGTACCTCCTCAATAATAATCATCATAATGAGAATATTATTATCACACATGGTGAACCACTGTATGCGCATATCGGCGCAGTAGAGCACATTCGTTCAGTATGTTCGAGGTGATGTAGAGCCCATAGTTTTGCGATTGGATTTAGTTGACACATAATCATATTGAATCTGAACGGTAGTGAATGTTTTGTTTTAGTGATAAAAAGATTTAGTTCTCTCTACAAGTTGTTGATTAGCTTGTAAACTTCTGAGTATAAAGATCCGTGGCTAGATAGGCAGCAGATGTAAACGACGACAATGGCTACATAAATGCTATTTTCTTGCTTTAGATCTTTCTGCTGTAGACTTGTTTACTTCTTTTGCCAGAGTAAGGCAGTTTTTAGCCCCGCATATTTGTTGCATGACATAATCTTCAATGTTGAAATGGAAAGCCGTGCAATAGACTTTGTGTTGTCCTTTTGATTTCCAGAGGTCTCATTCAGTATTCGTTGTTCGTGTGTACGTCAATATTCCGCAAGTATCTATATAATAAACACACATTGTAGTATATTTCCGATCACCCCATACGTTTTATTTAATCACTATAATCCTTATCCGCATTATGTACAACAGTGCAATAAGGGCCAGCATTTGCTACGCGGATCCCATTTTTTTTTCCTATATCGCTACAGCCCATTGAAGTTACATCGACTAAGTGTTTTTTTTTTTTGTTTCGCCAGCTAATCAATTTATTTTTATTTCGCTCCAGCATTCCCTTGTTTCTTCCAAGCTTGCTCGCTATATAGGACAGAGGTTCTTTGCTAGACTTCCATCGTTTGACTATTCTGTAGCTGTTCGACGATTATAATTGTCATCATTCGCAATGCCTATTTGTCTCCTGCATCACCGATCTTTGTCTCTTCCTATGAATCTCCTAAACACACCTTCTAAACCCATTGATGGCATCGTTGTTGACGGCTGACCCCACGTATCAAATATAATGGTAATAACTACACCTGCAGTTTAAATCCGCTCCATCATTCATGGTGCAACCGCTCGTAACCACTTTTCAGTACTGCGAACTATTCGTATGATTTTTTTTTTTTAAACTTCTGTCCCGTTCACCCGTGTGGGCGTGCGTGTTTTCGTTAGTGACATCGTGCCAAGTTATCTGATACGCCTAAGTGTTGTGTATTTCTACTGTACATAGTCTCGTTTATGTACTGTTTTCCAATCGTACGTCCTGTTGTTTTCCGCTTCTTTCGGATCCTGACGATTTTCCCTGGATGCGATACAAAAATCGCCGTTACACAGAGCATCGGTTATCTCTGCGCTCTGCTCTGACTTGCGACACAGAAAGACTGGGCACCACTTTTTGAATATCAAAGTTATTCATTAACGGTGTAGTGTTTTCGAAAAAGATTTTATTTGCAAAGAAAAGGTCGTTCCTTCCCAGTCATATAAGTACCTACGTTGACCAAACCAAGAGATAGAATTTTCTTCCATTGGATTAGCTATGTTATAGCTCGGCAAAGCACCAGGCTAGATCTCTGGGTGCGCTCATCTTGCGACAGGCTAAAACCAGAACAGTCGAACTGTTACAATAAGCTCTATCTTCTTTGTTACTCATCATAGAAATTGCATAGAAAATGATTAGCCTGTATCAGTCCTTTACGCTTAGATAGTACCTGTCTTGCACATCCCATATCTTCTTTAGAATGCTAGCAACAAAAACTGTGTTTCTAAAAAAAACATACAATAATCAAGAGAAAACTTTACTAATTACAGTGGCGCGTCGACTTCGTTTCCATTGTACTACTACCGTCGCTGACTCTAGCTATTAAACTGCTTGACACTCTACTCAATAATTAACTAAGACAAGTATAGTTTCAAGAAAAAAAAAACTATACAATAACAGACGCGGTTAAATTGGAAAAAAAATCAACTAAGCTGAAGTATTACAGGATTCGGCAGTTTACGACATTCGGAACCGCTATTTTTACTCTCTGTTACTCACCTTGATTTTTTTTTTGTATAATCGTCTAAAACTGAACATCTGTGCAGGATCCCTGCACGTTTGTAGAATTCAAATATGACTCAGAAAGGACTACTACGGGGATACGCAGAGAATGCAGGGTTCTAATGTAAACTCACCGGCCTGCAAGCATTCAATTCTCACTACTAAAACAGACAACCTTTTCACATCACTCTCCGCCCTGTAGTTGAATACAAATCCGATTTACACCACGTAGTTGTGAAAGACCCGGGCTGACGACTCACGGGACTATGCAAGCAGTTTGTTGCCACCATCATCAGTAGATTTAAGAGAAACAGTAATAATAATAGCGGTAATAATTGCAAGAGAAAAAGCCAGGTGATGAATTAACATTTTCAGAAAACATGCGGTTTCTGTTGTTATTAAAACACTCAAAAAAAGATACGGAACCTGTCGCTGTTGCTGCTTGTGCGCTACATTCCTACAGAATCAGTTAGGTAAGAAGCTACGGATCTGCAGCTACAGGTCACTACACCAACTCTATTGTCTTTTGCTTCTTTTTGCTTGCATATCTTGAAACAATTCCCTGTCAACGGCAGACTCCGTAAATTAAATAGAAGAAAAAGCAAGCGGTAAGGTCGTCTACCAACAACTGTACAAATAAAATCCACTTGTCCCTAGACCCCCCCTTCAGAACTCACGTGTTAGCATTTTCGGCAGTATCCCGCGAGCACTAAACTAAGATAACGCCTGGAAAGTCACATGAGTTCGTATAATCTCTGTGAGAGTTCTTAAACTACACGCGACGGCTTTTTTACAGAAAATTTTCGCTTTTTGGTAGACGGTTCGGTTATTATTGTTAATGGTGTCAAATACCGACTTGGTTGGCTGGCTGTATGGACAAGCTATCGTGATCGGTGATCAGTTTTTCAACAATCGACCAAGTATCAACGTGTGTATGTGTGTGTGCCTGTAATGTAATGTCCATGTTATCATCGGTGGTGATCGACAGCTTAAACGGCGCAGTTTGGTGTATTTTGCGTAGGACGACGGTGCAGGAGAGATCAACAGCGATGAATCGGTTTGCCCTGACCTCCACGGGTAGCGATTTTTTTTTTGTGATACTGGTAATGTTGAACAATGTTTATCGTCAGCATCGGTTGCATAATGGGCGTGCGGCGGTGCGTGAACTGTTTTGCGTCAATACATGCAACGCTTCTCTATATGTGTACATCCGTCCATCATCGATCAGTTCGCAGTGTTGGCGTTCTTCAGTGTTCTCATGAGCAAGAGTCCCATAACGGTGACCGCAGCAGCCCCCAGGCCGACTTTCATCCACGCTGTCACCTCCGGCGGCAGTTCCAACATCTGGTTCGTGTACTCCCCAATCCAACTGGGGCGGCTTTGTAGCACATGGACCAGTCTCTTGAGATTGGGGTATGCCGCCATTGTCGCCAAACGGACGTAAATATCCCGTGACACTTTCGCGGACTCACCAGCCGCACCGGGGGTTGTAGTGAACATCTGTGGTGGGGGAAGCTTATGCAGCGAGCAAAACTCCTCAGGCTGCTGCGCGAACTCCTGCGTCACCTGGCTCCGATCACACTTGGAAGCTACGACAAGCACAGGAACTCGGCTTTTCTCAAAGTACTTGCGATAGATACAGGCAACGTATTCAAAACTTTTCGGATTGGACGCATCGTATAAAAGACAGACAACGTCACAATGAAGTTCCGGTGGTGTAAGGTGATCTTGCATGCCAAAGATGTCAATTTCGTGTAGCACAAGATATTTTTCCTGAGAGTAGACCGGCACGGAAGAGACGGTGTACCGTGGCAGGTGGGCTCGAGGTATGGCTTCCGTCTGGCTAGCGTTTCGGCCGAGAAATCCTTGAAGAAATGAAGTCTTGCCGGCGCCCTGTGGCCCAATAACGTGACAATGAAACACGATTCGCATCGTCTGCTTTAGCTGTAGGTCTAACTGTTTATCCCGGGTGACTTGAACGCCTGCTAGTTGACTCTCTTCGCCGGTAACTGTCATGAATCCCAGATAGGCAAGATACTCCATGGTCTTAGTAACGTCGAGCGCTGTAGTTAGGGTCCACATGGCCATATAGCCAGCTTTGGTAATATAGCGACGCTCATTGGTAGCTACAGTGTAAATCATATCAGGACCCCACGGAATAACCGGACAGACCTGAAACAGCTGTTCCAGTTCGTTCGGACATAGAGCGCCATCCAGGTCTGTGTCGTATTTATCAAATAGTGTCCTCAAAAAATTGCATCCCTCTGGGGTCAGTTCCGTCGTACTGCCGGCTGGCACCCGAATCTTCGGGAAAAGGTAATCCCGGCTTAGATAGAGCGAGTCGTCGTAGCCAAACTTGCGTAAGATTGTCCATGTTGTCTCATGGCGCCCGCGCTGAATAAACAATTTGTGGAGAAACAGGAACCCTGCTAATGTAAGTCCGCCATACTTGGGGTCGCCGTCTTTTTCCTTGACGCCCTCAGGTAGTTGGCGGGACACAAGCAACTTAAGATCCTGCATCGCCTGCGGTTCAAGTGGGGTATTGAAGCATCGTCTTTGGAACTGGTCCAGTTCGTGGTCATTGAGCGCGCCGTCATTATTGAAGTCACAGATTCTGAACACTCGTGTTAGGGCTTGTCGACATTTTTCGGTTAATTCTCGTTCATGAGGTATGTATAGCGGGCCGGTTGGATGGAGAACGGCCTTTTGTGCATAGTAGAACAATTCGGAAATATTCTTCAGCGTCTTGGCACTACATTCTACGCAGGTTTCTACCTCTTGGTTCTGATTCATTATCGGCAGCGTAAGTTCCAAGGAAGAATACTCAACCAGGTCGTCCTTGTTGCCGACAAGAACGACAGGTGTCCTGTGCTCCTCACCAAGTACATGGCGAATCAGCGGCAACCAGTACTCGGTGATGCGTTCGATAGTGGAATCGTCCACGACCGAATACACGACGCAGATGACGTTCGACTTGAGAATCTCATCGTTAAGCTCTTCATCCGTCTGCTCCTGGACGCTATAGTCAACGATATGGGTGGGTACCTTCTCCGGGGTAACATCAGCGGGTATGGTAATCTCTTCTGCGCGCGGAGGAACATCCTCAGGGAACTCCTCGCTGACAAGGCTGAGAATCAGTGATGTCTTGCCAACGCCCGGATCGCCCACGAGCAGGATTCGGACGTCACTCTTCGAGCTGCGTTGACCTCCACCCATCGACTGTCCAGTTGGCTCGCAGTCGCACTCACCGCGGCAGTTCTTCTGGCACATTATTCCTACAGCGCCACTGACAGACGACGTACAGGGCTTACTGCACTCGATAGTCCACGGCTGTTGATCCACAACGTTCACGGACTTTCGAATGCAGAGCTCCCGCGGCCTCTCTACCGCGCCAGCAACAGCTGCTGCAGCTGCCGAACCGACGTCTGCAATAGCTCGTGCGGCAGCAGCAGCGGCGGCAGCGGCTCGTGCGGCACTTGGCTCGTGTCACGCCGCCCCGTTCATGGCAATTAAATTCGATTGCACCCACAACGAAATTCAACGAGTACACTCGATCAGAGCTGGTACACTGCACTACTTTCACCCTATCTCACTCCCGTTTTGCTGACTGCGACTATTACTATCCAACAACACGAGAATTTTGCGACTCTCGGCGAAATTCTCTAGTTCAGCTTTAAGCACGCCTCACAAAACGCGGCGCAACGCACACGAAAATGAACGGTGGACAATGGGAGAACCCCAATAGCTAAGATCGCTCTGAGTGGACCACTTAGTTGGGCAATTTCTGTCACATATTCACCAAAAAGGAAATCCTGTTCAATTAGGACTAGTTATCTCTGGCGTGACATTGATCACCAACCGGATACAGCATGGCAAAAGACTCTTTAACGCGATTCAGTGGTCCCGTACAGGAGCCCGTAGCAGGCACTGTGCCTCTGCACAATCGCTATAGCACAAACACACAATAGTTGAACCCCACCTTGACTACTACCTACGGACGTTCTCTCATGTTTACATATCCGGGATATCTTTTCGAGTCTGCTACGGGATAAGCTTCACCCACCTACAACCACAGAACGTGGCTCAGGCTAAGCGCATTTGCCTATTTGCCTTCAAATTCCTCTCTCTCTCTCCCTCACATTCGCTCGCTCCTTTTCTTTGAGCGACTTTCTAACAACAATCCGCCACCCGCGATGGTCATACTCGCATACTCCCCAGCGCAGACATTGGATCTAGTTGACCGTAGCAGACGACGTTGGATATCCTTCACATTGTCTAACGAATGGTGTCGCCAACAGGAAGCCGGTGATGCGGCTTCTGTGCACAGAAGAACGAGCCCCGCTTGCGAAACACGGAGAGTAAAAGTCGGGGACGAATGGTTTAGGGACTTGTCGTTGGCGGTGTTACTGGCCATCAGTGCGTGCACTCTTTTTGTGAAAGAATCGTATGGGTAAGTGCGGTAAGGCGGCCGCGGCTGTAATTTGTGTTGTTGTTTTTGTCGTCTGCTTTGTAATATGCTAAAAGAAGAGCAGAGACGAGAGTTACTGTTGCAATTTCGACAGCAGCTACACGACAGTGTCAGCACAAGTAGCGCTAGCTGGCTGTCTTAGTTAACAGAGAAGTTATTGCAGCAGTTGCAGTAGAAAACCATAGCGTTTGCCACCTGACATCATAAGCGAATCATTATGTCGGGACCGAACGAGAACAAGGTCGCTGAGATGAGCTCGCCAAGTAAGTAAGAACGACGTGGGTGGTAAGTTCTCTCAATTAGTAAAGTCGCCTTTGCTGTGAGAATCTGTATGCTTAAGTGACGTCGCAATTCAGACGGCAATGGTGGAGGTTCACTGAAACTGTGGGTCGTATTGTTCGCACAGATGGACGGATAGGTCTAACTGTGGCGGTATTATCCTGGCGACTGCGTGGCTGATCCGCATATTGTGAGAGCCGGGAAGCAAAAGTTATTATTGTAGGCCTGTTGCAAAAACTTGAAATATTCGGTAGAGGATTCTATATGGGAGCGTTTGACAGTCAACTAGAAATGTGTATTGGGTATTATTCAAATCGGTTGTATATGATTGGCGAACCGCAATTTTCATTATGCAGATTTTTTTAACAACTGTCACCAAAATGAGCTTCCAATAGGCGTTTTTATCTGGTCTCATATTTCTGTCTCTCGATTTTGTTAAAGTGTGGTAAAGAGGGGAAGCGGGCTACGTGGCGCGACTATCACGACAGACTAAAAAATGTGGTTATGAACACGGACCAAATTATTGTTAGCGTCCCAATGGTTGGTGGTTTTTGGTTAGATCAATAGCTTTGTATGAGCATGAGCATTTGCATTAGCATACGGATCAGAATCGAAGGGTCGGGCCTATTCACCAACTATGGGTAGCTGCATATGAGTAACTGACTGCCGCTAGCGGTCACCGCCGGCGCGCTTGCGTTAACTATGATGTCAACAGTAGTAGCGCTATTATTATTATTATTATTATTCAGGAGTTCTAGTTGCAACTAGAGTGCCACTCACAAACCTTGCACCGCCCCTATATAGAAGTGCAAAACCACTTAAACAATAGACGTAACGTCGATTATTGGCCAGCGTTCAGGCTATAACCTACTAGCTTCTCTCGAAATATAGTTTAAGCATAATTTCTCATGGAACAAACGTTGAGTGTACTTGTTCACGCAACCCAGTTTTCACACTGATAACGTGTCACCGTGGATGACACTGGGTAGCAAGCTGAATGTGCATAAACGCGCATGGTTTTCAAATACGAAATATCAGAAAGAATTGACTACTGTCAGCTAACGATCAACAAAACTAGAATTGTACTATATTAGCAAAAGGCGAACTTCTCTATGTAGATTAAAAAGTATTTGGCCAATTAGATTAATCTTACGCGGAGATCCTTTCAGGGTGTATCTTAAAGAGCCATACAAATTTAATCTGACGACTTAACGGGAATCTTTTTGGGCTTACCAAATAAAAAGATTTCAAATATCAGTTATGAGAAGTTATATACCTGTTTGCTAGACAAAACTACGTACGAAGTACGTGTGTAAGCGCTATATGTAGGTCGTGTATAATGATACATAAGCTGTACGAATAAACTGTCATAGTTAGTCCTATTATGATATGGAGTGTAGGACAGATGTGCAGCAGAGTTGAGTAAATTGTTTATCTGGACCTACTTAGCCAGGGGCGGGTGTCAGATTCGGACTAAGGTGGATCTGGTTTAAATAAAATAACCTGGATGAAACGCCAGGTCGGCCAGTGTCATAGACTATTTGCGTATTTGAATAGGTCTATAAAAAGGGGGCGTGTCTTGACACTTCCGGCTATCCTTCTGCTTCTTCGAATAGAAAAAAGATCTGAGCAAAAAGCTTCGATCCTAAACTACGTTCATTTTTCATAATTTAACGGTGCTGGTTATATTGGTGACTGGCATATATTTAGTTGACAATCGCCAATTACTATTGTTATTTAACTTTCTGTTGTCGTTTATAGCTGTTGAGATGGTTTTATGGGGGGCGATCGAGTAATATAAGCATTTGATTGCATTTAATTCCGGTGCCACTGTGATTCGATGACGCGGATCGAATTTAGTATGTGCAACGATTATACTTCATAAACTTGATCATGTTAGCTCGAAAAGAAAGAATATGTCGAATCATCTGCGCAATCCAAAACCTCTGCATTTATAGCGTATTGAAGATCCCATGTGTCCATATGGTAGATAATGTTGATCTGTCATAGGAAGTTGATATAATCCACAACAGACCCCAACCCAATAGAGACAGATGCTAATTCTATTTTGACGTAAGAACTTATTTGAACGTGTAGTTTTTTAAACCCAGTGTAGTGAACAGGTTGATCTTGTTTTTCTAATTATCTCGTATAGAACAAGCTGGACATATCGGTTCCATTCACGGTTGAAAGTTAACGTTCAGAAACCCAGCTATGCGAACCAGAATCAAAGATAGTGTAAGAGTTATAGGTTAAATAAGTAAATACAAAAAAAAAAAAACGTATTTTCTCGGAAGTACTGCGTGACGGTATTTTTATATGCAAATACCGCTTTCTTGATATTTAGCTGACTTCATCATATGATGCAGAAGACATCTTATTCGCCCGAACTAATAGTTCTACAGAACCACCTTAGCGTAACTACGCGGCCTAGTGTCGAAGATAGGCAGTAGCCCGGTATCGCTCTGTGCGAAGCCGGACATACGGAACTATTTCGAAAGAATCATATCGGGACTGCCGTGCGTCGTTAGGCGGCACAAAATTGCAAATCAAGAAACATGATTTGGCCGAGCGCCGAGTTACTGAATGCGGCCGTTTGTAGTTTTATTGTATGCGTATTCCCATATGGAACCGGCTTCCATCTTTCAATATGAAACTACTATGCAGTAGTGTACTTGCTACAGTTAAGGGGACTAGTAATGCGTTGAGGAATTTGATCGTTTTCGTTCTACTGAGACGAACAAATTTAAATAATTAAAAAGTTATGGGACGATAGCAGATGAATAGTCGATGGCTGAGAGCCATATGCGTGTAGGCGATTTGTTGTTCTTGCGAATTTCATCGTTTAACAGTTTGATGTCAACAACAATTTGGACGTCTAATTAGCTTAGGAATAGAATTTTCGGCAGCGATCACCAGAACAACGTTACGACTAATTTAACAATTCTAGTATTAAATGGCCTGGAAAAGCTTCGGCGCTGTGCGGCGGCCGGTGGGATTTTACATAAATTAGTTCTTCGGTATATACATTTATCGCTGGAAACTGGAAATGACCCAAATACGTAAATTGTAATAATAGGTGCAAGGTCGGTAACGAAGATACTGTCGGACTGAAAATTTCTATGATTGTAGCCTTGGTTTTCTATTTGCTTACTTGTATTTGGCTCACTGAACCGTGTTTGAATTAACACAGTACATAATTTTATGCTTATTATTAATTGAAAATCGTTCGGCATTAGTCGTGAAGCACGAACGCCTAGCTTCGAAATTTAATCACAATGAGTGAAAACTGCTTCGGTGTCATTGCGAAAATCCATGATAGTATTTAAGGGCCCTATTGGATTTGACTATTATGTAGGCTCATTGCGCCTATGCAGTACAGCCCCGCTGCAGCACGTTCGACAATAGAAAATCGTGCTATAGTACGTCGCCTTCCGAATCCATTACAGATTGTGCTAAAATTAGCCTATGCTTGGAGAGAAATAAAGGCTATCAATGGTGTTAATCCCAAATGTGGTCCAAGTTGACGAGTAATTATTGCCTTAATAATTCCTGAAAGTAGTCAACTGGTTTCGCTGGCTGAAAACAAAATGCTCACTACAATAGAACTAGTGGAAATTAGCTAGTTTTGACGTTTGCCGCGTGATAAATCGCAACGCCAATGTAAACGCTGTCTTTTCTGCCTGAAGGTAAATATAATTGATAATAATTAACCGAAAAACTGCAATCAATAAAGAACTCTATAACAATCCTTGTACAGCGGTGCCCACGTTTTAGTATTTTGCTTTCGGAGATCATGAGAGTACGGCAAAAGTCCGCTAGAGTCAGTTAATACTACCTTATGCATATAGCTATTGGGGTCCCTTTGACAGCGTATCCAATGCACGCATAGGCGACCCTGACCTGACGCATCGGGACAAGGCCTAACCCTTCAAATAGCTTGCTTTCTTAGATTACTTAGACTTAAAAGTTAAGGGCACCAGATAGATTTAAGGGTCAGACTTAAAAGACAGATTAAAAAAAAAAACTCTAATATCAAGTTATGACACTTCGAGGGTGAAGTCGGTACACTTATTTTAATAATACTTGGTGCAAAAATTTGAGTACTGCATTGGTAGCCAAACCTCTTTATTTGAAATGGGTCTATGAATGGATTGAAGTCTCGCTTTAATTCGCCAGAACACCGGCGCTTAGCTCCTTAGAAAGAAAGCCATTTTGCCTAAAATTTTGAATTTACGGTAGATCTTTGACAATGTGCGTTGACAATGTCCCAAAATATGGGGCGGTCGTTAAAAAATACTGAAGTATCTCTAATTGACGGGCAGCGAGTAGGACTGAGTGCCTCGTATGGATGAAAAGCCCGTAAAGCCTACAAAGCTATAAGTACTTGAAGTTCACTGAATTGTAGGACATAACTTGATTAATACCTGTACACATCAAAAGAATAATCGAAACTTTGAGAGTTTTGGCAAATATAAACATACAAAACCTACTTTCCCTATAGGGAGATGACCTCTTTCTTATCTAGCGTGGCCGAACACAGTCTGCTAGCCAATTTTCTGCCTTCACTTCCTAATTATAAAAATCAATGCCTTATATGTTGGCCTCTATTTTGTGATAGTCTCATCATAATGCGTGCACCGGAGAAAATCGGCTTTGCTTTAACTCAAAGCAAGATTAATCAATTTTGTGATTAGCTGAACGTGTTATTCGTGTCACATAGTGATAGTCTATTGCACAGGCATAACGAACTTGGAGTTCACTTTCTTTCTGAGCACCGCTTAATAGGTTGCCGCAACCAATAAACTCAAAATTCAACGTACGTATACATTAAGGTGCTCGGAGAGGCTCTTCGGTATCTTGTGCAATTCTTCTCTTTCGACAGTTAATGAGTTTTTTTCTGTCCGAAAGTAGTGCTTTAAAAATAATTCGTTTTTCGATGGATTATAAGATTTTGTGTATATCATAAAAGTACATAATGGGTTAGTGATGGAGTTTACGTGGGCAGTATTATTATGTATACGTTTATTGAGGATTACCCAACCCAAGAAAAATGGGTCGTATGACACTACAGCTGCGCCGCGCTTTTTTTCCACGATGTTTCCAACAAGTGGAAATAACATGTCCGAGTTGTTTGGCTGAACGGTTCTTGTATTGTTTAGGGAAGGAAGTAGCGATTCGCGGCTTAAAATTTAGGCGGATATAAATTATACGGCAGCTTGTACCGTTGGCAAAGTAGTGTTCAAAAAAGTTGTGCTTATAGTTCTGTCAGGGGAAGCAGAGGGACGTCTAATGCTTCTTGAAGAAGAAAAGAAGATACATAAACGAGAGCTGAACAGAGAATGTGGTTTGTAGTCTCCCGTTGGAGGATGGAGTTAATAGTTCCGTGAGTTCCTGTAAATGATTTCATTTCTTCCATGAGGTGTTATAATCGATCTTAGTAAGCATGTTACAATTCGTGCAGCGACTTTACTTTGCTTATTCTTTGTATATATTATCAAGTACATATAAACTTTAAAATAGAATAATAGGTTGTTTGGTCTCGAGCAGTTCTATCTCACTCGTCTTAGTCAAACTTCGTCATTGTGGCCAATAGTGCTACATATGTATCGGCCTATTAAACGTTTTGAATTCCGTTTCAGTATTGTCTCATGGGCACAATGGCGGAAGAATCAGCGGATAAAACAGGCCGTGTGATACTTGCCCTAAGTCAGCTGCGGCAGTTGTCATCCGCTCTACTTGTTTATGAGTGAGCGTATCTGTCATTAAAAAACAGACTATACTCTGTGCCTGCCATTTGATAGACCTTGATTAAGCTGTAATTGTTGTGCGTCTGGTTAGTTCTACGAGTCGACATCGCATTTATATTCTAAACGGAGGAAAAACCAAGAGTGCTATTAGGAAGGAAAGAAGTGTGCAGTAGTACAGTGTACGCGTGGCTGCGGCTATCGGCCAACGGGCTGCTTGTGGTGGCATTTGGTGACGTCTGCACATATTGCAGAGTGCTAGAGGCTGTGGCTGAGCAGATCAAGTACATTATTGGGGGGTCATCGTATACATACGATGTTCACTGCATAATGTTTCAAAAGCTAGATACGAGATTTGGAATAACTATCGTTGCATCTGAATACCCGTCGTTTATAGTTTTGTGTTAATTGAAGCCCGGTACATTAGTGTTTGTGTGTTAAGCAAGGAGTAGTCTTTTGTCTGCTTTGTGTGACCAACGAGCCATACGAAGTTCTATTATACACCATGATGAGTGAGTTGAAAGATTCTTTGAGATTTCTAATTAATGTAATGTGTATTATATAGGTTATAAAGCTGATTATTAAGAAAATAATATTTTTTATAAGTTTTATATTTTTTCGGGCAGGTAGCTGAAAGAACTTGAAATGCTGGTCGCTTGAGTATTTTGTATTGTGCTTCCTATACACATTTGTAAAATCGGTGTTGTTCAACGTGTTCTCAACTTTTATGAGCTTCTTATCATTAGAAGATGCTAGCTTTCCTAATACCGTTCACAGATCAAGTTAACAAACATCAAGTTAAGGAAAAAAATAATTGAAAACAGTAGAAGACTGTTTATGTCGTGTGATATACAATTTGTACAATCACAGAAAAATATCTATACAACGCTGCCGGTTAAAAATTAATGCTACCTGATTTGAGTCGGCCTCTGAGTAGGAAATAGTTAGAGACACTGCAATACTATTCGATCAATGGTTGTCAATGGGTCCTTTAGTTTCCGCTGCACCATACGGCGATCTATAATCGCACTATTACTCCTGTGGGGCAGGTCTATAATTAAATATTTTAGGATCTCTAAATATTATGATACTAATAAGTAAGCTTCTTGGACCTGCCAGTGTTGCTTATAAGATAGAAAGCGTTATTCAGTAGCAGCGTAATAAGCACATTAAGCAATTTGCTTTTAGTAGCGCACACACAGATAGACGGTCAGTTACACCTCTCTACAAAAAAACTACATTATTTCAGTACAGAAATTTCAATTGTATATTGAAATCATAACAAAGTTAAGAATGACAATAAAAATAAATGGTGTGTACTCATTTACGGTATGCGGCCTAATGTGATGTCACTGGAGTGTATAGCACCACGTTGTGATTGATTGTATATAATTCATTAAGTTGTTTTCATTTGCAGCGGCGACTGAGCCTGTGAGCGCTGGAGCTGGGGTTCTGAGCGATGCGGAACAGGAAGAGCTTCGTGCGCAGTTGGCAGAGCTCGATAGAGAGATGGAGACTCTTCGCGCAGTGCTTCAGTCGAAGCAAGAGAAAGCGCAAGAACTTCGCAGAAAGCTCGGCATCAGCCCTCTTAGCGAGCTCAAAAGCGACCTTGAGCAGTCGTTCAAGAATATTCAGGATACACAGGCGTAAGTATTGCTTTCAAGTGGCAAAAAATATTTCTATTTATCCAGAGTTCCCGATAGTCGACCTTCTTATCATCTGCTTCTAAATCTTCAGGCTATTACTGAGTTTGCTTCAAAACTGTTTATTTACGTTTGGCTCCTAGCCTGCCCGTCATTCTCTTTGTTAATTAGATGATGAGATATTTTTGTAATCCCTAAGTTCTCAGGCTAATTTGTGCTTATTCAGTCTAAACATCCGAGCTTAGGAATAAACTTCATTGAACTTGTGGCTTTTATATTGCCAGTTTCTGTTAAACAATAAATTGGATACATGAAATTCAACCTGAAATCCATAAAGCTCGACTACTGGCTTTAAGTGGCAGCTTGTAAGGAAGAAAAAGCAAATTGCTAATATAGAGACACTTTAAATCGTTATCGCATATAAATTATTTAGCCAAAAATATGCACTAAGTAATAGACCCTATTGCTCTTTGTTAACCTTATGCCACAAGCCTGCCGAGGCCTGTTTATTTTTCGCAGTACATTGTGCCACTGCTTATGTCCATATGCAATATGTCCACCTATTCGAATACTTTTCACCGGGCATTTACAGTGCGTGAAAACCTGTGACCTATTGCAAAATTTCGAATTTGTGTTCCGTACCCATTTCAGTTACCAAAAGACGTCTGACGTTGTTAAAGTGGCTGGCGAAAAAACGAGTCAACTATTTGGCAGCATCGGCCGAAAGCTAGGAGAAATGAAGAATTCACCAACGTATCGCTCCATTGAGGAGCGTATGGGATCGGCGTATACCAATGTCAGGTAAGTAAAACAAGTAAACGGACGTATACGAAAGCGTTTTGTCGATTATCATTTTTTGTGAATCTTTGTGGTGAAATCTGAGGGACTTCAGTGAAGTCGAACTTGAAAAGTAGTAAAATAGTCATTGAGCATTATTATACTAGAGTTCTTATAATGGTAGTAATATTGTTACTATATCAGTGTACTTATTCACTGGTTTGAAACGTTTTCAATGGTTTTCGTCGCTAAAGCGTTACTCACTGGAACGCGTATATTATATATAGCAGTATGCGAAATTCAGTTTGTCCCGTTACTGCGCGTATGCCTTTATTGGTCAAGCATCTATAGTACTGGATTGTACAATTCTCACTGCGTTCGTTTATGAATTATTAATGAGTCAATCATACTATGCATTATTTCTCCTAGTACATTCACGGGCAGCACAGGCATGATCATAATTGCCGATTTACTCAAGCACTACCTTGGATCGGTAAATGGTTTGTGGCGCAAATGGAAAAGCCTACGAAGAGACTTAGCAAATTTAAGAACTCCAATACCGAGAGTTTCCTCGGTAGCATCTTTAGGTGGATGTCAGGGAGAAAAATCGAGTGAGAAGAGCCGAATTGGCGTTTGGGAATATTAAATAAACGATAAAGGAAGGAACAATGCTTGTATTAATACGTCGTTTCATTAATTTGAGTAATTGCTAACGCCAGCTGACAAGACGTCCTACGCGATAGTAACAGATTTGTAAGGATATTATTTACAAGCTGATCCAAACCGAACTATTGCTTCCGCTTTGACATAGATTGAGTTTTAGTAAGTTCTTAGATATTCCAAGGAGCTATCAGCTAATTAACCAGTAATCAGTTAACAGATTTAGTACTAAGAACGCTACTGGACAACAGAAACTTTTCTATTGATTATGATTTTTCAATTTTCGCTTCATTGTGCAGAACAAGCATCTCGTCGCGAAGCGGCAGTCTCTACTCGTTTGGCGATGCCTCAGTACCTCAGACGCCAGCCACGGAGGAAAAGCCTATCGCGGTAGCTGAAGACGCCAACGGGCATAAGTAGATCGTCAAGCAGGTTTCCTACGATTGGCACTTCCAAACATATATACAAATATATTTACATACAAATACATAAATCTATATAAAATAGTCTACCATTAGATATAATGTGTTAGGAAAGGAGACAGTGTTGCCGAATAGTTGAAAGGTGGATGATTACCGTTACAGAACGACTTACTAACCTACGTTTCGTTGGCCTTTCATTTCGCTAAGTAAGAGAGAAAAGTAGCAAGTACTGTAGAAGACGTCTCGGAGCGAACGATAACAATAGACAGGGCGTAACGTAAGATGTAGTTACTGCAGGTGGAGGAATCAAGATAGAATTATATTGTGAAAGAAGTGTTTTTACGACACAGGTTTTTTAGAGTCAAGAAGAGCTCAGGGTCAAGTACCTATTGACAACGGAAATAAATTTAATATAAAAGCGAAAACGATTACATTTGGGCATATCGCACGTATTTATGTAAAAGATATATCTATTTGTTTTCATTTAAGAGGAATATCTAGCTATACATGAACGGATTAAGAAATGGCAAAAAAATAGAATTTTTTCGCTGAGTAAGTTGACACCAAGTATGTTATTTTGAATCTCTCATTAGTCGACAAAAAAGAGCGCAAATGTGAGACGTTCTATCTCTGTTGTACATTTATTATCATTGTGTTATTAGTCTAAACTCCTCTTAACTCTCAATGGACAAAAAGCTGCTGTGCTGTCGGGTTCGTGAATCATCTTTGGGAACAAATATAGAAACAAAGTGTAATGTCGTGCACGGAGCCGACAAAAGGAAAACAAAGTTCCAGTGCGAGGCGATTCACGCATTACGTGTACGCATGTGAGAGCACTCATCCGATCACGCGGTATGAAGCATTATTAGTAGATCTAAATTATGGAAACAAGGTTCCGGTTTGTGAAAATTGGAGAATTCTTCAAACGTAGCATTGAAACAAGGATTATCATACTCATGTAAAGTCTGTCACTTGGACCTTTTTATATATATATGTGACATGGGAATAATTAAATAAAGAGCGAAGCCTTCGTCTTTAGTGAATATTCACAAATGCGATGTTGTACGCGAAAGAAGGTGTTATAAACTACATTGTTGTCTTTCGGGTTTGCTGTCAGTCGATAATTTATTTAGCCTTTCTGAATACACCGGACTGAATCCGGAACAATATTAAAAGCAGGATTCGGCTAGGCAGTAATCCAACGCTGTTCTTCTATTTTCCACAATCGTAAGATTAATCGAATAACTTTCACATAATTTAGAGTGTCATCTAATGGCAGATAGTGGAAGATAACATATTGCATAGCGCCCCAGACTAAACAGCAGACACTTATGTCGACCGACAGATCTTAAGGGAACTATGTAGTATATGCATGTGTACACGAATAAAAACACGTAATCAAAAAATGTTTTTTTTTTTATTACGTGTTTTTATTACCAGGAACGTTCTGATTATAACAGAAACACACATTGTTTTTAAGTGTTAAATTATGCGTGTAATAATGAATACGACGACAGCGATAGATTTGAAACATTTGCATGTCGACATAAACAGTAATAACGAAATACGAAAATAATCTCAGGGGCTCTAGCAGTACGAAACGTATGGACAGAGCTGTGAGTAACTCGTATGCTAGCAGAAAAATCACAAACGTAAAATTCTGTAAAGCAAGGATATAAACTAATGAGGAAAGTGACGACAGAATATCGACGGCAAGAAACATATTTCAAGCAATCATTAACATTATCATATACGCGTTTCATATCGAGCGGGAGAGGTTCAACTTCTTTGTATTAATTGCTTCTAGAAAGAAAAACAACGTACTGACGCCTTTGAAGCACTGATCGCTTCGCACAGAAACACTTCGAGCACACATACCAGCCAGACACGACCATAACAGGCGCAGTGTCAGCTGAAAATATGGAGACGCTTGTTTAACCGTCGTGACAAGAATAACATTTTTACCTACCTATAGGAGGTCGCAAATGATAAGTATAAGGCAGGAATGAAAACATTTATAATTCAAGTTAAAAACAGAAACGCTATATTCAGGCAAGTATACTTATGTAACGACAAGAGGACAGTCTGATAGAGAAAAACCATCGCTAGGTTGATTTTTATCGATTATATTAGATTATTGCTAGAACGTATTGCTACTTCGCGTCATACGAACGCGACCGTCTACGAGTCTTTTTTTGACGATATTTATTGTACTATATTCTTCCGATGAGACGGCGACGCGATAGTATTGACGGCAAGAACGTAAAACGTGAAAAAATAGACGAGAAAACTGCAAACACAACAAAAAAAAACCGTTTAGAAATAATGTGTGACCTATTATCTACAAAAACATGCAGAAAATGGGAGATGGAATGGAAGAATATACAATGAATTATGTAAATTGCTTTTGACAAAAGTTGTGTCATTCCTATAAATGCCGATAAATTATGTCGAACGCGAACGTAGGCTAGAGCAGTTCGCGAGGTTAAATAATTGGAAGAAACTCGATTAATATATAAACTAATGAGGAAAGTGACTAAGTGACGGTTATGCTAAGTATTAGAATCCTAGCTTTGGCAAGGGTCGTAAGGAATAATAAAGCAGAGCTGCTATAATCGTGAACAATATACTGTAACAGGTTGCGCGAATATTGGAGAGATATTTTACGTTTTTATTTTTTTTACCGCGGTGAAAAACTTTGCCATTTGCGATCCAAGTCGAAACGTCGAATAAAAAGGTCTTTATTCAAAGGCGCTATTTAGTGCAAAAGCCCTTCTGAAGATCATTTTAGTCGATACCATATACTGAACTATGCACAAGTTATTGACTCAAGTACGCGTTAAAATCGCTCCGTAGCTGTTTTACGTCGCACAAATTTCTGTTCTGTAACATAAACAGGTTTGCGCATCCGCTACTTTTTATCTAAGCCGACCGTGCTACAGATACATTTTCACTGCAATCAAGTAAAGGACGTGTCGAAATTTTCTAAAGGAAAATAAACAAAAAGTAGACATGTGCGTGGACAATGAACTCCGACCAATAACCATGTGCTTCTCGTGTGTAGCGTTCACCGTAGGTAGTCACATGTCCAAGCCCAAACTGCTTATAGTGTCTTTGTGCATTTGTGGCGAACAAATAAAAGAAAAATCAAATCAAAAAACCCGGATGCGCCGGTCAATGGCCTGAGACGCCCGATTTCATCGAAATTAAAAACGCAATACCATAAAATTTTCACCAGTACATGGAATAGATTGCTTTTTGTATGAGCCCCGTCTAGGTCAGAATCGATCGGCAGCTCTTAGTTCGGCGTTTTTTCTTGCAGGCTTGCAACGGCTTTGCTAGTTGCTCACTCAGCATGGAATGGAGGCTTAGGTTACTAAGTTAAAAAGTAGTTCCATAGAAATTTTCATCTCCAAGGATTGACCTTGAAGTACTTAGTGGTAAAGCGTTAGCCAATTCAGAACTCTTCAATTTGACACTGCGCCAGATCCTTAGTATGCTAATGGCATAGCTGTTAAGTAAGCTAATTCTTGAGATGAATGCGATTTCGAAGGGGCACTTGCCTAGAGCGAGAGAAACCAGGTTTTATCTGTTAAGCACGGTAGGGTACCAACGGTGACCAACCGAAAAATGCATGTTTTGTAGGTAACGGGAAAACACTTCGATATTCGGTCGGAGTGTGACGGCGGAGTTTTGTCGAGTCAAATGTACATCGATGACAACACAAGGACTAGCCCGTAACGTCATTGTACACTAATCTTTTTCGTCTAATAGTATTCACCACGTCGTCTATGACGTAACCAAGTGAAAATGAAGAGTAATGCCTTGACTAAGCAGCGCATAGTTTATAACATATCCTATCATACATTTTGACACATGTTAAAATCGGTACAAAAAATGACGTGGAAAACTGGCAAAAGTCAGTTTTTATAGCAGCCAAATAGATAAATTACAAAAAATTAAAAAAAGTCGCAAAAAGTTACTGACAAGAAGGTGTTTCGTATTTTATATATTTCAGATTCAGGTATATGCTTACTTTTTTTTTTAATTTAATTTGAACTATTATATTAGCTTCCCTATGTCAAGTAGTCTGTTCAACATCGATCTTATTGTTAAGCAAAATCATTGTTAAAGAGAACCTATACGCACCGCAGCGGTCTCTGTATGGTCCTTTCATCAGCGAGGTAACTTCCAATGCGCCGTGTTCTCAGCACATATAGGCAACGCAGAATAACCACTGAACGGGCCTAATGTTAAAATGTAATATAATATCAATATTCTAATGAGGGGTAAACATCGATTGAGGCTCTGGTTGGATGTTCTGCTAGGCAACAGACTGTGAACTAGGAGCCTGTATATAGATCATTTCGTGGAGTTAGAACTAAAATGACACGTCACCCGTGTGTTCCTTAAGCGGTGCCCGAATTTACTTATAAACAAGATTCAGATAGACAGATGCATCTCTGTTAACGTCTTCCTTTTTGCCGAGACTCCGTTTTAGCTAATGCTATGCGACACTGTGCCCGAAGTTCTCTCTGAGGTTTCGCCCATTACCTCATCTCAGACCTGCTCATGAAAAAAACTATCGTAAATATATGTTATTAAATCCTAGTTTTTTGTGCGACCCATACCATAAAATGAGAAATTTTATCCATTTAGTATGGAAACAAAAGTTCATATCATGCTTTGCTGTAAATTAGAGCTGAAAATCGTTATACAGGGAAGTTGTATACGCACACAATTGCATCCTCATGGTTTCATCTAACGCTACATCTCAGATCAGTCAGGCGGAGAGAAACCGGCAAAATCACACACACATACACACACACACCAGCATTTGACTAGCACATACATTATGCGATAACACTCAACCCAACCGACTAACGAAATGGGTAGATTTGCCGAGCGATAACGAAGCACGGGATTGCGGTTCATTTATAGTTATTTGGATGTTTTGTGGACAGTTTCTTTTCTAACTAAAACACGCAGACGCAATGCCCACCACATACACGTGGACAAATACCGAAAAGCGAATTGCGGTACTCGAGACTTGTATTCTTGAACTGGACAGGGATGAACGCGAATGCCTACGACTACGGGTGGAGTTGCTTTTGGCGCAAATCGATGTAGCTCTTGGTAACCAATACAAACATGTGAAGCCAATGAAAGACGGAGATGACCTGCTGAGCGCGTTGGACGATGCAATGTCGGCGACGAAATATTTCAAACGATGGTTTCGCGAGTATACGCGCTCAGATGGAAGACTGCATCTCGAAAAGTATATCTATAAGGGAATTGGGGTGGCTCAACGAGAGAGCAAAGCAGTTCGCAAGATTTTATCAAAGATGATGGACCTATTACCTAAGTGGCTAAACGTCGACATCAGCGGGTGCTATTGTGCCCAGCCACATCTATTGCTTGATCTCGATAAAGGCTATCGAATGGCCATGATACAAGGTACGTGATGTTTCTTTGTGGCTGCTGATAAATAGTACGCAAGTATCACCTTTCTAAAGTAGTGATCTCCATTCCCTGGCTCGTTTGCCTTTCGTATACCTGGAGAGAAAATGTACTGTTGCTTTACGCTTACAGGTAACGACTGCAATAACGATCACCTCGGTGACAGGTTCGACAAAGGTGTACGCCGACCTTGAGCCCGAGGACGTGCGCGAAAGTAGTCAGGTAATCCTGCAGGTCCCGATAGACCCGTCTTGTCCAATGCATGTGACGGTTTATATTCGCGAACGTGCCACTGGCTTGCGAGCTTTGTTCCGGCGGAAATATCGAAAAGTGTTTTATGATGAATCCTTCGATCCGATAACATTACTTGGTTTCGAGGGGACTCTGTATGGTAAAGGTGACATTGAATTGCCAGTTACGGTGCGATTGTGGCCGACGTCCGATTGCGAAACGCTTTATCAACAACTGTGCGTAGGCAGCGCATCACGACGTGTCACATCTTCGATGTTGTTGTGAGTTGTAAGAACAGGTTGACATAAAAAACGAGAGTCATAACTGCATTGTACGTTGATATTAAAGCTGTCGTTTGCCAGAGGTTCCCTTCTTGGAAAGACTTTTCAGTGCTAGTGAAGTTGTTTGTTTGATGGATTTTATTGACTAGTTAAAACAACTGGCTGGGAGGACTTCTAATGAGGTGTTTGTCGTACATAAAAGCTTGATTAAGCCCATAGTTTTAAAGAAAAAAACAGCCCAGCGTGATCTGATGAGACATGGCATGCCTCGCACGGCAACCGACGCAGTTAGTAAACCCAGAGGCAAGTCTCTTCGTAAATACAGACAATTTTCAAAAACGGTTTGTCTCTGTATTTTTATTATGTATAATACACACACACACACTTAATCGTATTTCTTGTTTGGTCGAATATTAGGAGAGGACTGAGGAGACTAGTACGTTCTTTTTTACCGTTCTGCAGTTTTTGTCGCAGTTTCGATGCTTGTACAGGCGCATCACCATACCATCACTGGCATAATCAATTCAGATAGTCAAGCTAACGATCCAGACTCTAGTTTATCAATAAGTATAGACCGTTTTGGAAGTTAGTGAACATTACTCATGACTATATTATGAATTAACGTATAAACTTTTCTGCCACATTTCTGATTTCGATTAGCATGCTATTAGGACGCACCACTTACTGAGCCTAAACGGTACTGGTAGTAACGGTGATAAGTGATTAGCCGTTGGGAATTATGGACAAACATGACAGGCGCGCATGATCAAGTTAATTTCGAATACGTACGATACTATAATATCCAGCTATACTTGGCTTTGCACTGCTCAGCAAAACTTCATTAGGAGCTATGGTAGACAAAAAAAAAGGACAACGTAATAGTAGATATCAACTAAGGATCATTATTGTTCCATATAGACCTATAATGATTTCGTATGAAGTTGTTTCTACTATAAAAAATAGGGCGGTATTTCGAAATGGTGGTTCGTCTATCGTTTGTCCTCGCGATCGTCTACTTAGCTAGCTTAACATGAAATAACTAGTGAAGCATGGTCTTCTCTTTAACAGGAATCTAACTAAAAAAAGGAAAAAGGATTCCTTCCGTGGCATTTTTGGCACAAAGTTACTATTCACCCTCAGGTTTTCTCATTGTGAGTCTATATAGGTTCATCATGTGCGTATTTTTATTGATTTTTGAAAATCGCTCTATTTTTGGTTATGAAATGGTATTTTGGGCTGACACGTTGGTGTCCTATTGGCTGTTGATAACCTTCACAGGAGGCTTCCATAGTTATAAACTCTTTCAGGTTTCATAAAACAGACTTATGATATGGTACATCTATATATATATTGTCATAAGCAGAAATTTAACGGAACCAAATTTAACGGATATACCATGTTACAGCTACATGAACTTATTGGGATATATGTGACTATATGTGTGTGTGTCTCATTTCTAAATAAAATTGTTTGTATAAAACAATGAAACGTGTTTGGCGACTGGGAAGATTAGATTGCCTTGGAAACCGACGGGAGAAAAATGGATCAGATATGGTTATGGCCGATGAGTTGTTTGTTGATGAATAGCTAATGCAATTCCCGTAACAAATTCGTCTGGTCATACGCTAAATCTGAGGTATGATTCTCGAATATGTGAAAGATCATGTGCTATGTGCTATGGTAAAATGGTAAAGATAACTAACGCAACGATAACTTGTTGTTGGGATGTGATATTTGTGTACAGCGATTGTAGTAAGTTTCGTCATTTCGTATGAACAAGAAAAAATACATTTTTAGAATTGTGACCAATGTATAGCTTCGTTGGGGAGAAGTGACAAATGAATTTGTGAGAGGCACGATTGTAAGAGAGTAGAATAAACGCGACAAGGACCTATTTCGTCAATGGAGACTGTCTCACAAAACAATAGACGATACAAGTTTAGCCAACGATAAAACCTTATAACTATTATCTGTTATATAAAATACGTAATCTAATGAAGCCTTATACTGAATGAAAGAATGTGACGAAGCGATTCGGTAAGGAAATCTTATCTTTATTTGTTTGCCCGTAGAGATTACTACTCTCTGTTAATCAATACTAATTACGCCGCCTAATTGATTTCTACGCCAATAGACATTTTCCTCAAAACAGAGCCTACTACCTGCCCATTGTGTGGGAAGCATGCAACATATGCTCCTACAGCAACGAGACTGCCGACCGTTACCTTGGCTTTCTCGTGCATTGCAACAAGAAGGGGTCAACTTTTAAAGCCCCTTTCATTTTGCTGCTTAAAGAAACCAGGTATTGCGTACCACTAATATTGTGATCTGTTTGCAGAAGGCGCGGCGCTGTTTTGTCGCCATCGTTCACTTTAGAAGGTAAGCACGTACTGATTTATTACACGCAGTAGAAAGAAGATGGCATCCGGAGCAGATCCCAACAAGGACAGATTAAGCCACATGGTCATGTGTCCACTCAAGTAGAATACAAAGTCCGAAAACTGAAACAGACGTAGTAATAATGAATCTGTACACATAGTAGAAGCAGCGGAGCGTAATGACCGCAGCTATCCGACTAAATCGTAATAGTCTCTTTCAAGTTTAACTTCGGGCCGTTTTGCTTACGTTTGCGATAGAGTAGTCGTTACCTGCATTATTAACTTTAAAGTTAAGGATCTGTGTCTGTTGTTCAGTAAAGGAAACATTAACTTAACTGTCACCTCCGATGTGTGGAAACTAAATACGGAAAGTCTTGCAGCTAACTGTTTTGTTATAGCCGTGAGCTGTATATAATACTAATTCTGTATAGGCAAACAGGCTGACTTAGACAAATCGGATATGTATATAATATGCTAGAATTACCGTATTAATAGAGGAAGTTTGTTGCTTTAATTGGCATACCTTGATTTTCGCCAAATTCGTGATCTGCTTTACGTTCGTTGAAGCAAGATACACATTGATCTCGGCGTGGTCCGTACTAAAAACGTAAGGAAAATCTATTGAATAATCAGAGCTTAATGACAAGAGCTACCTGTGTCTCTGTTTTTGTTTTCAGGTGGCAATAAATATTATGGATAATTTTGACCAGGGTTCGGGTACTGGTGAGGGTGTAACTTATCCAAGTTACAGTGACGCTTGCAATTAACTTTACTTACCTAGGGACACCGTTTTCGGTTTCGAGATAGCCGATCTGGTGCATCAGGCCCCGGTATCGCTTGTCATTGCATCCTTGGGTACAGCGTTCTTGGCAGCGAACGAACCACTTATTCTGTATCATACGATCTATGCACTTCACTAGAAGCAAGCGACAAGAAATACGGCCTTGTGTGTTTGTAACATAATGTGTGTATTATATTATGCAAAGCTGTCAAAATGCGAGTGTGACTGTTAAAAAAGCCCAAATGGTTAAAAACAACTGATGGCTTTACAAACGACTCTGTGTCGTTTAATAGTGCACTAGTAGATGCTAACGCTATACTACATTAGCGACGTTAACTAAGCAGACACAGAAGAAAATCGAATGGCGATCACTAACAGTGGGTGACGTAGTCGCAGACGATTCCGAGCCTCCGATGTTTGACTGCGTACATTTTCGAAAAGCACCCACAATGCTTCATCCAGGTGGCGGCCACACATGCCTCACAACATTCTTCTTCTTGAATGATATGTCCTTCGTAGAGCGACGAATTGAGGCCCTCTTTTTCATAGTCGACGCAGCCCGACTCGTAAGGTTTTGCCAACGAGACGATGTCATGCTGCAAGACCCCCACCACCCCAACAGTACAGTCATCCAAAATCTCTACTCAGGTGTCCAGAAGCAAAGTATGCTTTTAAAATACGCTAAAATAGCCGTCCTCAGAAAACAAACTCTTAAGATGTGAATCAAACGAGGTTTAACTAACAGTACTATATACTAACTATTAGTAGTGATACCTGAAAAACGGTGAGGTAGTATTTTCTTCCAGGCTCGAATCGGAACGAGTGAATAACGCCTGACGTGTATCGATTCTGTTCATGAACCAGAGCGGTCATCGTGGCACCGCCGCCATCTTTTGCTCCATAGCTGTGGACCCTGAAGCGAAGATCTGCGAAGGGCACACACCGACTAAGGCTAATATACTTGTAATCGACTAGAGCTTTCCAACTGTCGAAAAAACTAGGAGACTCGGTAAGTGGTAGTGTAATAAATTTAGAGATAGGAATGCGTTTTATATTACAGCTGGCCTGTAATGAAGGGTTGCACTTGGTGGGAGTCTTTGAGCGATCCTGTAATGTTTGCCTAAGACCGTAAACCTTCTCTCGTCTGTGCAGTGAAAACGTGTTTGGCTTGAGTAAATAAATCCTCCTGCTGTAGATCGCCACCCTTTATGAGTTTACTATAATAAAGCTTATGATCGATGAAGCGAGAATACGCTGTTGTATCAGACGAATTCGGACGTCTTCTGGCACTTACTATACTTGAATTGTTCCTTGCACCTCCAGAACGGGTGGTCCGGCAAAGAGGTCATGTCAAACGTATAACATGAGCCTGTTTTGACATATGTGAACGTGCGATTCCACAGCGTTACGCAGTCGAATGATTCGCACAGATCCGAACGCGATTCCATTGTGCATTCGGTGACAATTTCGTCCGCGGTGTAGGTAAAATTGATAATAAACTTCATGAGCAGGATGTCGTTGCCTACCATCGACTCCTCCGGACATAAAAATTTAAATAAGGCCTTCACGTTTGATTAGCTGTACCTTACCTAGAGTTTATCTATAAAGCAAAGAAAGACCAATGCACTATGGCAGCTTTTACTATCACTTATACCATGCAAACAATCATACGTGTTGTGATAATCTAATAATAGTTGCAAAATTCATTATAATGGTACGATAACGAGATTGGCAGAGACAGGCGCTTGATGAGAAGCTTATTACTCATTCACTACTTACAAAATTCGGTTCCCTGTTCGTACAGTTCTGCCGAAGGTACGTCGAGCAAATGTCACTGTAGTTGATGCTTTTCCGGATCAGAATTAAAGGTTACAAGCAATGAGTAATCAGATATCAGTTCTAACTCCCTGTCTGTCTGGCTATCTGGTATCAGCCGAGCGTTCGTCAGTGCGCGTATAGATCTATAGGCAGATCTGTTTCACTACACAAGTAGAAGTCAATTAGGCCTTTCCCAGCAGCTTGTTGTATTGAACAAGCAACGCGACCCATTTAGTAAAATTTGATTTGCTGTTAAATTTTGCAACCCAAATGACCCACTTTAGTTACAGTCAATCAAGGGGCTATGATGTAATAAATTCTTTTTTCTAAAAACTTCAATATTGTGATTTAAATGCATATACTAAAAGCAGAGGTTACCCGTCAAGTAGACAAACGGTGGTTGCCGGATAGGCTGATCCCTTGATGTTCGCCTGCGAGTAGTACACGGTTGTAGGAAATCGCCGATACTCATACAGTTCCTTAATACACGACATTGAACACGCGATTATAGTTGAAATTAGCAGGCACTGCAGGAATCCAGAAATAGATGATGAAACAAAAGGTCCTTTAAGGCACGTATAACGAAGTAAGTTGAGCTACCATATTGTAACCGCACAGCGTATTGATTCACGAACAATTTCTCCATATCCTTACAATTTTCATTTTCGTAATGAAGGCACTTCCTAACTGCCACATACATGTGTTATTACTGTTACTAATGATTTCTCTAAAACAAACGGCCAAGCATTTAGTAAATCGCAGGGAGCGGATGAGTTATTTAGGGGGTGGATGGTGGCAATAAAAATAGCACTCGGATCTACCCAATCCGTTGAGTTGCTACCCCTGCTCAATCCAGGGGTTACGAACAGTGAGTTACGCAGGACGAAGCTTCCGTCTTAAGCGCTCCCGCTCGTACACCATCTGTTCAAGAAGGGTGAAGGCGCCGCTACGAGCTATACAAACGAGTTTTTTTCTGTTCGGATGCTACGTACGGAAGCTTGCCCCTTTTTTAGCCATTTCAAATGACTTACTTATCCTATTTGTCGATCGACGAGCTATAGAAGGTTCAGGGTGCCGTCCCTGAACCGAATGTTTCAAGTTTTATGTCCGCTATTGCCATTAGACATTGCTGTCAGACGGCTGGTTCCCAGAAGTAACATCTTATTTCGCATAACGTGCTGTTACTATCTTGCAATATTAACCAGTATCTGCTAACACGGTAGGCCTCTATGCATTAAGTAGCAAACGTAAAATATTGCGTGTCGCCCTGAAACTCTAGCAACGCTTCAATGGAGCGTCTAACAGCGATAGCGGACGTAAAATTGAGAGAAAAACATTTGGTAAACACATGTGTTTCATTTTATCACTTAATTTTAATGTAGTAGTAACCTAAATAAATGTCAACATTGCTACTTCGTTTGAATGTATAATACCAACTGGGTAACGTCTATTATTAATTGTATAAGTAATAGTGATTTTTACGTATATGTGAAAAACCGTAATCGTAAACACGTTAAAGAATATTCCAACCGCTAAGGGCTATTGTAACTGACCGCCATGAATGATCTGTGCACGACAAGGTACCGCATAACGGCCTGAACGCGAAATATTCGATAGACTATAACAAGTATATAATTGGCACACTCTGCTCCCACTTTGTAGAATGAAAGCCCCATCCAGAAGCCAACGTAACCGCCGATAATGCCAAGAATCTGGGTTGACTGAAATTGCATCAAAATTTTATTAAGTAGCCTATTTTTATACGAGAACGTAAACAGGAACTCATTTACCATAATAGTAATGAGCGTTTAAATCCATATTTAAGTGTTTTGTTTAGATATGAGGCTCGGTATGATATGAAAAGTACGCTAGAAGCATTCCTTCTCCTCGTAAATTATGCATTCACCTAAGGTAAGCTCAGATACTAACCGAGAGTAGCGGTACGAAATGAAGAACATCTACCTGACGGGACGTGACGATAACCTTGATGTTGACGTATTTTAGGCTAAAAATTGGCAGCAGGCAAAGTTATGGATTCAATTTAGATTATTAATTGGTATTGACAATATTACCTGTTCTATGAGACGGGTCACCGAAAATATGCCTTTCTGCAGGTTGGGCTACAATTTAATAGGAAACGACTTCGAAAGTAAGGATCGGACTTTTCTGCCTAAGCTCCAACGGCTTGGGGGTGCTGCCTTTAATCCTCTGCAAATGCTCTAATTCCACTAAGCCAAACTCGGATGATATCGCCGCTCGCATAGCGGACTGACCCAAACTTTGAGGGGAATGTATTCATGGGGGAATTAATTAATTAATCCATTTTGTGAGGGGGCGTAGCTCTCCAGACGCAGACGAAATTTTTAGAAATTTTGTCGTTTTAGCAACAACTTTTAGCATCTGTACAGGCTGTGAGCAGACATGAACATTAATTCGGCACATAAAAACAGTAGCAATCGACGTCATTTTAGACTTTTTTTTTTTAACCAAAGCCATCGCTTCTGCTTTGACTAGAATTCAATTACTCAATAGCGCTACTTATCTGTCTAACATTCAGTATCATCCCATCAAATTTTGCATTTTGCATCAATGAAACTTTTCTACTTAAAGGACTTACTCATCAATAGTGCAATACTAGGGAACTTGTAACTAAAAAGAAAAAACAGTTCTTGAAAAGATTCGATGTGTATCATACAACTTACTCATTGTCTTCGGAACTAACTTGTCTCCAAATGGATTGAGTGGCTTTGTAGGTATCTTCGCGGCAAGCTGCGGTGCATTCTCGAGGGCAGATTCGCGAATACGTTTCTCGTGCGTGGGCTACAGCGTCCGTTTTGTTACCGTATTAAGTAAGCCATATAATAGAAAAGGCTCAAATTAATAATAAACAGAAATTGACGTAAAAAACGAGACTAGATACGGATACGAGGCTGCTGTGTGTGTGACCTGTTTTTTTTACGACAGAGGATCGTTAACGTGGCCGCTTTAGGCGCAAAAACGAAAGGACAGCAACCTTGTCAGGATATATCGATTGTCACTACATGACGAAATTTGCGCACAAAAAACTGATCGGCTGTCCCGCATTGGGCGAAGCAGGACAATAATGCCAAACAATAGTAAAAAGGAATCGAACCAATCGGCTAGTCGATCGGATTTTCTATATATATATATGGTCATGCATTTGAATAAATTTAGCAGAAAGGAGACAGTTAACATTCATATAATTAGAAAGTGGGTTATAATGACTATTATCATTCATTATAAAATCAGTCTGAGTTACCCTGAACACATGTAATAGTCTGATTGCGGTCGCAGACACGTCCGCCGATTTTGTTACGATAGACGTAATTGGACATAATACAGTTACAAACGCGCCGGACCACACGCAACTTGCAGTCTTCATTACACATCTGCTTAACAGAGACAGCGTCAAATAACGATTAACGTGTATTTGTAGCGCATGAACACTTTCAATCAAAAGTTCAGACTGTTGTTTTTCTATTCCGTTTCAAAACTACAGCTAGATAGTGTGGCCTTAAAGTGAACCCTAGAAATCGATACTTCTGAGTTGCTTGGGACTGCAATACTTTTTGTTAATAAAACCATAATAAAAGAACAAAAAAAAACCAACAACCAAAATAAAACCACTTACATCTCGGCTCCACTTAACGAAGTAACCATCATCAAACACCTTTATATCGCTGTAGTTTCGGCAGTTTGTGTCGTACGGCGGTGGTAACGTCTGGGTTCCTTTGGGCCATTGTTGCAATGAAAATCATCGTTATAAACGAAAATGGGCCACGTTGCTCAATCCCGCATTTATCCCATTTACAGCCATTGTACAACGATTACGAAATAAATACTGAGCCACTGATAATCGAAATGCTCAGCCGGTTACTGTCACTACAAGGTGAGCTACTATTTCATAGAGGAAACAAGAAACTTGGTGGGCTTGAATAGCAGTGGAATTACACAAGTGAGTATGTAGCGTTTTTTTTCCAAGGAACGGTTGAATCCTCGACTGACAATGGCCATGCGTGAAATCGCTATAAAAAAATACTAAATTCACCGCTTCAGTTCGAAAGGTTTTTCGTTGTCACAGAGGTTTCGGTACCTTCCTGTATAACCCCGAACACGTAATCTCCTGAAGGTCGTAGAACTATTGCGTGCCTTTGACCAGCCGTATTGGTATCAACGTGATGAAACCCCAATGTAAGCTCGTACGGTGAGGTCTGAATATGCTCGTCATCTGGCCATGAAACCATCATATTCATTTCTGGAACAGTTCGATTCAAACGCGCTCAGATAGGTTAGCTCTTACCTGTTTTCTGATCTTTCACTTCGGCCTGACTCGAAAATGAAGGTGACTGAAAAGGTGAGGTACTACGCTATTGACTATACATTCTACGAAGTTCAATTGTATTCCTAACGATGCAAAGCGATGAATGTCTGAAAAGCCGTCAAATTCACCTTCACAGTAAACGAAGGTGCGCAGACGAACTACTACAAGATGAAGTATTTGTTTTTGTCGCGAATGTACTAGGTTGACACTTACCGAAAGCAATAATATTCTGATATACAGCTTCCATTTTATCATCTGTCCTCCAGTTCATTGTATAGCACATGTGGATCGGAAGAATTGAGTATGATACTCTCGTAATACTGGTAACAGGGCAACAAAGCATGGCCAAGCCAATAAATAATACATATTAGAAAGGACCTGCTGAGTTGTCCTATATCTTTCCTCTGTAAATGCGCGCGGTGTTTAACGCACAACCAGTTTATTCGCATGCTAAAAACAAGCCGTATCAGTTGTGGTAATTTTGACCAAATATGGGCGAGCAAAAATGGTGTCTAAAAAGCGAAACCCTGAGATGTTATTTACATAGCAACCCTGTGTAAAATTAGTTGTGGGGTTGGGCACAGCAGATAGGCGATCCGTGTTTGGATCAAAGCAAAGATGTGCAATAGCCTTTGATTCAAAAATTCGTATTCTTTGTTTTCTCATTACTGCCGAACAGTTGTACTCCAAGGTAGTCTCCCTCAGGCGGTCCTTGTAGAACACTGCAGAAAGATTAACAACTTACTTCGTGTTTAGATAGAACTCGAAGTAGTATTGGGCCGGGTTAACAAAGCCAATTTGAAGGATGTTCATAGGATCAAGTGCAAATTCAGTAAGATTGGCCTGGGTCATCACTATCCGACTGACTGCAGCGAGCTGAAAAACATGAAAAATTTCTCTTTATTTGCTTGGTTGCACCAGCCAAAGCTGTAAAAACACAAAATCTAATGTTTATTAATTATCCGCGAATTAGTTTCGAGGCTGAACCGAATGCGCAATGAGTGATAAATGGGAAGTTCATGGTATCGTTAGTTGCCATCGTTAACTTCACGGTGGTAGAATTCGCAAACAACAACACTATATACTACTAGTATAAAAGTTAAGTGTGAAGATACGTTTGTCTCAAAATGTATAATATCTCGGTTTTTTTTTTATTTTCAAGTTCACTCACGTCAATGCCATTGCTGTTATCGCACGCTTCTTTAAAACGTTCACAGAATTTCGTCCTGTTAATCCTATAAAAAAGAGAAAGAGTGTACACAACCAAAATGAGTGTAAAAACCGCGATTTCTTAACTCATTGGGTGATTTAGATATAGTTCTTAAAATGCAATAAATTACGCGTGCCTTACGCGTCAGTAGGTGCTCGCGACTAGCGGCGGTGACTAGTTACCAATTGGTTATACAGAATGAAAGCCCTGGGTAGATCAGCGTTCCTTCGCCCTCGGTGCGCGCATCCACTGTGCTCGGGTACTTCCAATAGTCCATCATCACCTGACAAAATTTATAATCGTCATACATATACCCATCCACACAGATGAACAGCGACTATCTTTTCATTCGCGTACATTTCTATCAAAGATGACGAGATTCTATCAAAGACGCTGTCTGGCTATTGATGGAAATATTTTGATCTTCAGTAAGAACAATACAGCGTTAGAATCAGCATTTCCGGAAGTTTGAAATCATCAGTTTTAAACGTCAAAGCGCAATGTGAAAACCGGACTTAACTTACCTGGATACCTTGATAGACGAAAGCAGCTACGGAGAGAAAAAATATGGCGACCCGCAAGACGCTGAACTCATCCAGTCTGGCATGAAAGATAATAGGCATGCTCCAGTTACGATATGTTCATAAAAGGCACTAGGTCGGCAATATATTCTTCATATAATTTTACTATTTGTAGAAATAAGCATCCACAGGATATTTTATAAAGCAACTAACTTCTTTTTAGTGTACTACGGAATACGTGTGCTACAAATGCCTAAATGTTATAATAAAATTTTATACTGTGAAATAAAATTGAAAAATAACTATGTTACGGTTTTTTTTTTACGGTCACCATCACTGTCGAATAATAGTCGCAGGTGTGCGTCACACGTAAATAGCGAAAACCAACATAATGTCACATTGAAAAACTTACGCATTAACAACTCCCCGTAGAATACCCATCGGTGTTTGTGAAAGAAAGGCAGGAACGACAATCGTGTTGCTCCACAATTTGTTCTATCTAATGAAGGAATGTCCTCCATGCATTGCTACGACATGCGGGTACGCCATAACCTACCGTTGGTGGTCTGTATGTACCGAAATGTACGTATCGATGTATTGCACGATGGAGATATATATATATATATACAAAAACATCTACAGATGGATGATGTTTGCACGCATATTACCAGCAGTATTCCATACATTGTTTTGCCTCTTTTTTCGGGCCAATTTACAATTCCAACAGTCCATTAGGCGTCTGTCACTACTACCGCCGAACCATTATAACGCTTTCGATTTCTCTGCGTCAAGCGCTATTAACAAGCGTAGCAGCCCATCCATAAATTGCGTGTACGCAAATGTATATGTGTACCTTACTCCATTATCTTGACGTGTGCTCGTTTTCCCGCTTGACGTTATGCAAAACCAACCTTCGAGTGATTTAATACGAGGTGATACGAGCAGCGATGTTACGTCTAATTCCAGCATTGCAAGAACGTAGATGGTCAAAGAGAGACCGCATTAGACGAAAGTATTTCATGTTTCAATAGAGCGTTACGGTTACGACATTCTCAACAAATCTTATCTTGATTACTAATGCAATGTTTAAAAAGCCCCTTTTTCTAAACGCGTACAGTTTCCTAATAAACTTTTTCCATCTTATATATATACGCCTATAAAATAAATATGTATGTAGGTATACCCTTAAAAATAGAGCTTGCGAGCTCGTTTCAGAATGACTCCATTACACAGTCATGCGTACGTGTTATGTATGCAAATAGGGTAGGATCGGCTGGTGCTGTCTGATAATTAATCTGAAAGCAAAGGCAAAAAATTATCTAAAATTTTATTCCATCGTTTAAATTTATCAGGTACTACTTCTTATAGACATGGGCCGATGTCTTTCAAACAGTTTACGAATCACTACGGCCTGGTACCCCGCCGGTAGACAATCCACAGTTTACTAATTTTTCCTTAGATTTTCCATACAGCTCCGTTGACACTGAGGAGGAAATAAATGCGGATTCAGCGAGTAATTCCTGGTAAAGCGTTTCACAATCAGGTGTCGGCCATAGTCGGACCGCGATTGGCATCTCGATATCGCCTTTGCCGAGAAGGCTCCCTTCAAAGCCTAGCAAGGCTACAGGATCAAACGATTCATCGAAAAACACCTTACGATCCTTCGGCATAAACAACCTTCGAAAACCGCCGCGCTGATCGAGTCGAATATAGACCGTTGCCTGCATCGGACTTGACGGGTCGAGCGGCACCTGAAGCACTGTCTTGTTGCATTCTCGTACGTCCTCAGCATCAAACTCCATGAACACCTTCTTGGTCCCTGCAGTTGATGACAGTTGATGGTAGGTTGTTACCTGTCGAAGTAGTAAATGCAAAAATATTCGCCTTCCAAGTATAAAAAGGGCCGTACTTATGGACTAACATTAACTGTTAACTGTTAAAATCGAATACGCTGTACGTACCTTGCAGAATAGATACGCGGTAGCCGTCATAGAGTTCCTGCAGGACCTGTGGTTTAGCGCAAAAACAACCCCCGACATCAAAGTTCACCCATCGGGGTAGAAAAATCATAATTCTAGACAGTATCTTTCGCACAGTCTTACTTTCCTTCTGTTCAACGCCCACGCCGTGGCTAAGGTAACGTTCGAGAGTAAATTTGTCCTGCGTGCGCATAATTTCACGAAACCAATTCTTGAACCTTACCGCTGCAGACATGGCCTCGTCCAATCGATTTAATAGATCAGTTCCATTTGTGAAGGTCATTAGATGCTTGTACTGAGCAGAAAGCACAGAATCTATCTGTATTAAAAGATACTCCACTCTTAGAGAAAGGTATATACTGTCTTGAAAGTTCAACCGCGAAACAGTCTTTCCCAATCTGTTAAGCATTGCTGAACTTCGAACCATTTTTACTTCACGAGGATCGTTACTGCACCCAATATCTGAATAAAGGAGTCGCTCAATTGAAGGTTTGTAGATTTTTCCTCCTAACACGCGGCAAATCGATAGACGATTTGAGAAGTTCGTCGTTTACACGTGTTGGCAGTTGCCGTCATATGGCCCATAATGGAGAGATAAAACAAGGCAGACCTACCGGATGCTAACGTTATGGCCAACGATTGAAATCGATTTCTTCAAGCACAGTTCACGGACGGCCATCATTTTTTCGTTGAATATGCCACAGTTATCGATATCAGAGTTGCTTGCGTCCGCGAGCAATTGTGGTCGCTATCGTGGCCACGGCAATAGGCCGAATTAATCCAGCCAGTCGATGAGTCATCACTAATCAACTGTACTTTTATTAAATATACACAGTCTTCGGACGAAGCTTTTTATTTTCAAATGGTCACTGTTCGTGATTTGATCTTCATTTGTGGTTATCAACGTCGAATGTTTGTGTACTACGATAGTTTCATGATCGTCATCATATCGCGCTAGTCTTCACAGTTCATTGGAGAAGCTGCCGGCTCGTTCAGACGTAGACATTGTGGGTTCGCGGTCCCTATTATGACCGCGTATGGAAAATTATCTAGTGTTTTTTTCGGCTATGATTTACCTGCTCATGCGTATCGTAAACGAATTAATTTACGCAATAAAAAACACGAGCCGTTGTACGAAACCACCACTCTTCCAAATATGAACTCTTATCCGTACAATTTTATTGCGATTCATACATTTTACTATTATGAATTACGCTAGTAAAACTGTCGTTTATATATTTTATGTGCATCGAAGGTGCTGCAATTTGCTTTACCTAAAAACTACGAGTGTTTCCGTTTATCCTCTGTCAGTTAGCCGTTGATGGGGTCGCCTTTGCGAACAACATTTGGTGAAACTGATCTTCCATTGAAGGTTCTGGCCAAAGTCGGACATTTACAGCGACTTCCAAGCTTTCGTAGCACATTAATCCACCCACATGACCAAGCAAATTAATCGGGTCGAGTCTGTCCCTTGAAGCTACTATATAGGGATGGCCTGGAGTATTATACGCCCAAATGTACAGACCCAAAGGAAGATGCGGCCTGAGTTGAAATTGGACGATGTTGTAAGGCAAAAATGCCTCAGGAGATCCCCCTTTTGTCGAGCAGAGTTTACCTGGACACAGATTGAAAAAACACATCGAGTTTCATTCACCTTTACGCACCTGCCGAATCTAAACTTAAGCCAGTTACTTTTTATAAACCACTCGCCCAGCAACGAACAGGTAAAGCTAGTCACGGTGTCCACTAGAACTTTTAGCTGCGCACGTTAAACAAGAACTATGCGTTGAAAATAGTAATTAATTTAAATTTGCGACCGAGCATCTCCGAAGGCACTTACGCCAACTTGGGACTTCTGTTGGCTGGAAGAACACAGTTACTTTCTATCGCATCGTTATCCAGTTTGTTATGGTTGATGTAAACTTCTGATCTACTATCGGATAGTGATTGTATTTACTGGGCTTGTCAAACTGCGGCTATAGAATACCGGCCTCGAATTATCATGCTGTATAAATAGTGATAATAAGGTGACATAGTAATAGTACACTAGGTCCATATATATATATATAACATCGCATCCAGGAAGTCTTTGAAGCTCAAAATGTAAAATTTCTAAGGTCGTCAGTGAAATGGCGATCGTGCAATGCTGGAACATGGACACTATCTGTGTGGTGCGCAGCGCCCCTACCATGAGCTACTATAACTTTGAAGCTCTTTGCAGCCTGGTGATGATTACACGACTGAACTCTGCAGCAGTGTCGAAACTCGATGGTTAATTGATTTGGTAATATTTGCATCGTTTCATCGAGAAATTGTTTCAATTCATGTGGGATGTCAGTGTTATGGGATGACACTGCCAGGTCAAGGTATTTCGTAATGTTCCAATCTTGGTTTTCCGGCCGAAAATTGGCAATTAACCATTTCCTGAATTTCACTAGTGTTTTACTCATATCGTCGACTGTTGTCAGTAGCGACCTGTAAAGAGTTTCATTATCTTCACTCCAGTGGAGTCTTAGTTGTTTACGTTGTTGCAATAATTGTTTGTTCATTTTAGATAAGATCATTTCCAATCTAAGAAGCGCGTACTCTTTGTCTCGTGGCTTAAGCTGTTTAGCGAACCCCTCAACTCGGGCAAATTTTGGCGCCAACATCGCGTCAAGGGCATCCAACACCAAATTTCTTTGCCAATTTTGTGAAGTCAATACAGTGTTAGGGACATTGTACGAAGCCATTTTGTCAACCTAATTAATCGTGCACGTGAACAAAGCTACTCTGTGCAGAGCGTCGATCCAATGCGCGTCGTTATTGTCTCCCATTCACGGGCTCATTTCTCTTTCTTTTGGACTTTTCGCTTTCAGATCCCATCATCATCATCATCAGACGGAGGCGCTAAGGTCAGTCGGGAACCGGAACAAGCCACCCTCAAGCGAGTCACAACTGGAAGGTTCACCTGCTATTCAAAACGCAGACCAACGTCGGCCCATCGTAGCGTCATTTATTGATGACGAGCGGGACCTGCGACGTACCGAACGAAGCTTACTCTCATCGGGTTCGTCTCGGACAACGACAGCTATTCAAATGCGTTTACACCGCATTGTACACTGCACTCATATGCAGGTAGCGTAACAAGGCGGGTCTCATTATCACAGTTTATTACGACGACTATTGTTTTTGTTAATCTGAACAAAAACGGCCGTTCGATTCTATAACTTTTTTGTAATATGGCTACGGTATTACTACGATAGCCCAAATAACATACACACTTGCAGCTCTCCGCAATTCACACAATGCTATGATGTTCAAATTCATATGAAACTTGATGAAATGATTAACCCTTTTTTTTGCTTTTTTTTGTGCTACCTCAATGCAACTGACATGTCGTGCTGCGTAACTTTTCGGCGTGGTAACTGTTCTCAATGATGTCTCATGTTAAGCCCCATCAAAATATAACATGCTTGCCGAGTCTACTGTTAACCTTTCCAGTAGACGCATACCTACCGAGTCACTCGTTTCGCCATTATTACTAGCTCCCGTTGCGCCCACTGACTCGAGCACTGGAAGCCAGTAGCAAACCTACTGTTAACCCTCATATTCGCCTCACAACCCCCATAACTCCGTCATATCGCTGCAATTTGCTACTAATGATATCTTAAAGGAGTAACGTGAAGTACTACCGCCACTGCTACTCGTTGCTACCAAGTGCACTTCAGCTTTCTCTCGTGGTGCTGTTTAAGTGCCCTCTTCAAACAACACGCCGCTACAACCTGGCCGGTTGTCCCGATGAACGAAGGCTTTGGTTTAGGATTCGAGGGGCCAGCGGGTTGGCCCCAGCATCCGATGGCAGCAGTGCAAGCGAGTGGTTGAAGAAAGCTGTGAAGAGGAAAGTATCCATGACGGGCATTAAAGTACCGTCGTTAATGGGGCATTATATTTTATATAGCTTCCACTACATCTTTTGCCTTTAACGTCTTGTTGTAAAGCCGCCGTCAGAGAGGAACGGAGCCGGCAGCGCGTCGGGAAATAAGACGATGTATATACATAATAGTCGCGTATCATTGAACAACATCGCTTTTGTCTTAATTAACAACGCCCTTGTTCGCTTAACGAACAGAACGAATCAGCAAGAGCCATCTTCCGTTTCGTATGTCGATGAAAATTAATCAGTGGCCTATTACATAGCTTCAATGCGTAGCCTAATTGCACTAAATTAATGATAGGTAAATCAAGTACGTTAGGCTCGCCTTTCAGGCAATGCTGCATCGGCAGGCAAGCCAATACTGCAACACGTTCCAATTCAACGAGACGTGCGCACGCAGCTTTACCACCGCTATAGCTATAAAGTCCTAATACATGATCATCTCCAACGCGATCTCTATACCGACATAAAGAGAATTTCTAATCCAAAAAACACTAATGGTAATATCAACGCTCGAGTGTCCATATGTGGCAACAGAATAGGTGTCAAATACGAAAAACAGGCGAGCTAAATTGACACGCAATCATGCCTATGACTATAGTTTTTATATGAGTAAAAGTAATTAACAACAAAAGTAAGATATAACGATTTTTACAATCGCTATGAGGTTTTTAAGTATGGCAATTGTTCTCATTGCCCCATTAGTATCTCTGTAACCGAACTCCTTGAAGTCCGAAGTAACCGATAATACGACGTGAATAAGTGTGTTAGCACTAAGGGGCAATCATAGTGGTACAATATTAGATCATAGTTTGCACGCTGCCTGAAAAACAAAGCTTAGGCAAAGCTCGCTTAAACGGGGTACAGTAGAGAAGCAACGAAGTTTTATATTATTGCATTGATAGCTACCGGCTAGCTTTTTGTGAACGTAAGCTGGCACAAGTGAAGTAAGACTATAGGAGCACATAGTAACGCACGCGAAGATCTCACATGAGCCCTTATAGAGTCCTACCTATTAGGTACACGTCAGACAGATTGTTGGGCCATTGCAACGAATTAATACAGAATATATTGGAAAATTTCCATGCATGGCTTGTATACAGACAGGAAATGTGGAACTTCGTGATTACACAGCTTTATCCTGTGAAAAAAAACCGCCTTATATTTTTATAGCTGAATACTTGTTTGATCACACAAAAGAAATATATCTCTCATTATCTACCATGCTTCTATAATTCAACAGTTAGGATACGATCTGTAATGATTTTGCAGTCTGAAGAAAACGATTTGTTGTACAAAATCAAACGAGAAAAACTATGTTATTAATGCTAAAAAAAAACATGACGCCCATTTGTCACGATTTAGGAGGATTTTTCTTCAGTTCATAAATCTGACTAATGGTTCTCTTATCCGAAATTTCACGTTAGGAGATGACCAGGGGTCAGAGTTCGCGGAAAAGATACGACGATATGAGTTCAATTAGATCGTAAGCTTCGCGTCATTTTCACAGAATGGCCGCTGACCCAGCTCATTATAGTACTATAGTTAAGAGGCCACAAAAAAAGAGATTTGACCAAACTGTATTCAAATTCACCAATAACACAATATGGATTAGCATACCACAACTCAACATCAGAAGAGTGTTACGCTGATCACATCAAAATAGCTAGTATTTTTGTCGAGTAATTTTTACAAGACTGCTTTTCAAATCTGGGCAATTAACAAATGACCCCCAGGTATTCTTCTCTCTGTACCCTTTGGTAATATGCATATAACGCAAGCATTTTTCTAGTCTCCTGTATTGAGCAGTAATACTCAGTAAATTTGCTTTCTTACGAATGGTCTACTAATAGGCTTTTGTTCAAAACAACAGTGGATGCGCGTCAATCGTAGGTACTTCTGCGAAGTCTAAAATTTGTCCTCAGATGGACGGCGTTTTAGTATCCAACGCAGAGTAGGTAGACGCAGTCGGCCGACACTTCTAAATGATCCGTTCTATATTCAGTCGCACTAGCGTAGCATTGAACATTGCCGGGCACTCAAATTGCCAGGACAGACAAGAGTGTGCCCTGCCTGTGGCCCATCGTGGGCACAACGCTGATGCAGGGGCCACAGGTGAACGTAACTGGGCATTACCTCCATTAGCTACCTTCTCAGCTCTTACTAACGGCGTTAGACCGACGCCATAGCATCACTTCTTCTTATTTCATTTGCACTTTTTTCTTTCCTGGTGCAGTAGCGGAAGAAAGCCTCGTTCATGATTCACCTTCGTGCGAGTACCATATATCACGGAAGGCCGAGTTTGTCTCTAGAGCCCGGATTACCAGTGTAACCAATACGGCCGATACTCCAGAGTTTCGCCGTGTTTGTCGCTACACACAACTTCCGTCTGTTTTTCCTTATGCTGCATGCCTCGTTATGCTAAACTCGGTTGTTCTTATTATCCGTCGTGGTTTTACTGGAGTTGTTTTGGACGAAAGAGTTAGCCTCTTAGTAGGAGATTTGTTCAGGGTTGCGTTATCGCCAGATTCGCAAACGCCCTAGCTGCCACTGCGGCAATGGAAGCGAGATGGATCTCTAAACCGACCCATTTTTGCCGTCAGCAACTTCTGCACAGCAATTCGGTGGCCCGATTCTATCGAATAAAGGGAACTAGCACTGATAACAGCGCTTAGAGAAGAGTCTTCTCTCCTCTTTTTCTTTTTTCCTGCTTTCTCCTTATATACACCCAGGCAAGCAGATTTCTAATACCTCCCCCTTCTCAGCCCCTCTGCATCGGGTCAAAATGCAGCGCTGCTCAGCCTCGGCCAGTGATACGGTCTGCATATAACATTATCGTCTACCGTGAATCGACCCCGTACTCGCTGCCCGTGACGCAGATGCCCATTGCCTCGGCCGTTGCTATCTGACGGCAGACTACGAGTCGCGGTTGTGCGACCGTGATTTACGCAACGACGCCTCATCTCATACTTTTCCTTTCCGTCTCTTTTGCAAGAACGGCGACGGCAGCAATCTGCGGCATACTGCATCGGCTGATTAGCGTTGCACCATCGTTTTTTGAGCTGTCTTGCCATAGACTTCTACGAGCGAATCGAGCTCAAAGAGTTGGCATGCGCGTACCGAAAAATGCCCGAGACTAGTGTAAGATGGTACCTATCCTCGTAGTGTGCGTGGTCGCCGACTGCTTTGCTTGCGCATGTGAGAGCCGGCTGGGGGGTAGCGGCTGCGAAGCTGAGGTGGGAAAAATGAACTCGCGGTTATATTGCGCTCACAAAAAAAGAAAAGTGGAAGTAAATCGAGAAATAGTGGAATTTTGAGGAGCTAAGCGAAAAACTCAAGCAAGTATTGGGCGGTGACGACGATAAAACATGCAGGCTATAGAAGGCGCATTTGGAACAGGCCATCTTTGCAGGTTGAGAGTAATGCTTAGGCGAACACGAGTGACGAAAAGAAGCGGAATTTTGATTTATGCCCATTGTCCTACTTTTTGGACTGTAAAGGACGCGGTACACCTCTCGCCACATCCCCATAACGATGTAGCGGCACCAATGTGTTTATCTAATCAATTTAGAAATACGTAAGGAAATTTAGGTTCGAAAGCGGACGTAGACACACTTCGTTTCGTGCTCGAAGAGGATAGCTGCTGAGACGATGCCTAACATCAGTACGGTATGTAAAATTCTGAAGCTTATCAGTCCTTTGACCGATTGACTCTAGTTAAGGGCTGGACAAGCCGACACAATATGAGGAGAAAAGGAACAGATAAAGAACAGAACGTCAAAGGGTACGCTGAAGGCGTGGTGAAGTGATAACAGCAGAACAAATAATTAACCCCAGTAATACAAAGCTCTATTCTGGGATACAACATTAATATGAATGGAAAATATTGTCTGTCAATATAGTGTGAAAGATGCAAATTAATCATAATAGTGTCTGTATATGACCACAACCGTAAACGTACGTTGAATACATATATATATATGTAGGTCGGTTAGTGGTGCCTATAAGAAAGATGTACGACGGCAGGAAGAAGTGAGCAAAGGTTCTCATCAGTGTGGATTGATACCTAGCTTTTATATTGCTCGCAGCTAACTTCGCAGGTAGATGCTTGCATACTCGTCTTCCTGTTGAGCACTGGCAAAAGTCCGCCTGATATCCGGTCAGTTAGACAAAGACGAAACGAAATCTGCGCGATGTAGAATAAACTATAAAGACTAGAAGGTACGTCGTTGCTTATGCCGGCCTGACCAGTTGCCTGGTATTCCAAGTCCTGTGAGCGAAGCTGGATTTTAAGGCGGCCAAAAGTTGGCGGCACGTTTGGAATCATTGCTTGCTTGAGTTAAAGCTATACGGATGAAACGGAAAGAAGCAAATAGGAGATACATTCATCTGGAAACTTCTGTTGCAGAACCGCACATAAACGCTCATCGCATAGGTCGCTTGCTTGTTTGCTCCCATGCATTTCTTCTTTCTCCCATTCTTTTTCTTCGCCTCCTCCTGTCTTTCACCCTGTTCGCCATGCGTGGGAGGCCGCAATTCTCTTTTCTGCCGGAACTCCAGCTGCTGACATTCGGCTCCACACAACCGGCTGTTGCATTCTTTTGTAGCCGGTCGCTGGTCTAGTCTGAGATACTGTGGTGTATCCGAGTCAGTTTAACTGAGACAAGGATATCAAGACGCTATAAGGAGATAGTAAAAGAAAACGCCATGGTCCATATGGTATCGTTGTATACTATAGTTGGGAAGTTAAAAGGGAAGTATGGCTTCCGGGTGGTAGCACGGCAGGTTGCTTCGACCTACCGAGCTACGGCTTGGCCTGACTGTGTTTAGTTCCGACTTTGGTTGAGGACGATCCTCGAAACAGAGAGAGAGCGAAAAGGAATGATGCAGATGTAAAAAGAATACAGCTAAATAGAAGAGTTCCCGACGGCCGCGGCGATTTGAATATCAAAGGCGGCAGTCTTTTATACGAAGTCAGGCCAAACTTTTGGAAGGCTAGTAAGAAGGCCAAAAGCTAGCTATCGGCATGGCCACAGAAGTAGCGATGAGCACCAACTCGTGGGCGCACCAGGCAGCGAAATGCATCGGTCAAAG